ACATCAGCCGCAAGTCAAGTTGTTGATAGTATTGATTAGAATTTTTTCCGCCAGCCTTCTTCGCTTCACTTTTCGTTTTATGTGTGCGCATGTGTGGCATGCATCAGTTTGTGTCTATGCGAGCAATTTTCCATAGAAGAGACACAAAATATTTAATCATTCGAGGTACAGTGGGTAAAAAACGATTGATTTTTATAAAGCTGCATAAGTTTTCTTTAAATTTTGAAAGATAATTCCTGATTATAATATTCCATTATCTGATGTTATGAGTTTATGAAATTTTTAAGACTTTTTTTGCTCAAAGTTTACCGCTTTTTACCCACGGTAGCAAACCCCCCTGCAATTGGCAAACATTTGCTGCATGTGCAACAGTTGCTTCTGCTGCTGCAGCTATTTTGATAAAGCGCGTAATCGTAAAAACGCTAATGATACGATTTTTGCAGCAATGTGATGATTAAATGTTGCAACCGCCGCAGGCCAAGTGCCTCCCCCTTTCCGCGTTTCCGCCTGGCCACCTCTCCACCCTCTTCTAGCCAGCCGATTGCCAGGCCATCTTCATCTTTTCAGATGGCAATCGCTGGGGCCTTGGCCCCTACGGTCTAGCTGGAGATAAAACTCTGGGGCTTGGGACTGGGCTTGGGTCCAAGTCGCAGCTTAATTAGCGTAGAAAAGGGCGCAGCCAAAGACATGCATCAAGCAACTGCAACAACAACACCAGAGGGAGGAGGAGCTGCAGCAGGTTTTAGTGATCTGTCATTGCCGGCAAATGGCAATTGCAACAGCAACAACAACAACAGCAACAACAACAACTATAAATAGTTGCACACGTGCATGAATTTCGGACTATTAGACGTAATAGCTGAATGCATCATAATTTACCTTGACATTTAGACCAATGTCTGCGCATGCCAAAGTTAATTGCCAGCGAGCAACATGCAACAGCAGCATAACAACGACAACGAGCAACATCCACATCAACGACTATGCAAATGGTTTGCTTACACGCCTGCATTTTGATTAGGTTAACTATTTATAGCCATGCGATGCGGCATCAACGCCGGCAACATTCCAGCCACATATCTATCAGAGGATGACTCACTGCAGCAGCAGCAGCAGCAGGAACAGCAACACTTGCTGCTGCGACATGTGGATAATCATACTGATATGCTTAATTAACTGGAACAGCGACCACTGACTGGCTGTTCTCTGATAATCTTCTTGCACTGGGCAAACAGGTGCCACCTGAAGGTCAGCAGCTTTTCAATGCACAGCAATATGGCCGGTTTCTAGTGCCTGGTCTTGCAATCTATTTGCTTTGATTTCAAAGTGCGGAGCCTTTAGGTGGCGCCCAAAAAATATTCTGGCAAAACAGATACGATTCTGGGTTTTGGTTTTGCTTTTTTGGCCAAGAAGACAGGCCGGCAACTTAAAACGAAAATGAAAACTGAACGCATGCGCCAAAGTCGCCGACGCACCATTCAAGGCAGCCGCTGGGCAAATGTTTTTGGTTTTCGGTTTTTGGCTTTGGTTTATGTTTCGTTTCGCTTCGAACTGGTCCGCTCCGTCTTGGGCCAAAAACTCCATCGGCTCCCGTCTCCCAACTCCGTCTCCATCGGTTTCTGTTTCTTTTTCGGTTTCGGCCTGGCCAACCTGGCAACCTTTAAAAGAATGCGGACTTGCCAGTAGTAGACACACTCACCACACACACACACACATGCTAAGAGATGTAGGCGCACGGTAGATAGGCCATATCGAAAATATATATACGTGTGCTTCTATATATATATATATGTATATATATATTTATATATATATGTAAGGCATGCACAGAAAAAATAACTCAAAAAGTTTGTGGCAACAAAAGGTAACAACTCTTGGTCTGCCCGGTGATAAAGCCACCAAGTGGGGTGGTCAAGAAGTTCTGGGAAGAGAGTTAAGATTACATTCTTAACAAATTATTTATTATTTTTAAAAGTTTTGTTAGCCAAAAAGGTTGCTCTTCGGAAAGGTTCTTTTGTTATTGCTGATGCATCCTGAAGGTCTTATATATTATATAGAACTGATAAGATTATTTGTATAGGTATGTAGTTAATAGATAGTTACTAATCCATTAAAACCCAATTTTAAATCTTATTTTTTTGATTTTAAAACTTTTCCTCAAACTCGAGTACTTCTTCTGGCAACCCTCGGAGCCAATCCATTGGCGCAATTGTTGGCGGGATCATTTGAATCAGTGTGTGCGTTGGGCAAAGTGTGTGAGTGTGTGTATGTATTGCCAGTTGCAGTTGCCGCATGCCGCATGCCACAGCTGTGGCAGCCCCGGCTTGTTTACAGGAATTTTACAACTATGCAGCCGGCTCCAGCAGCCGATCGGGCCAAAAGGATGGAGGGCAGACTTTGTTGTTGTGTTGTTACTACTTATTAAGAAAAAAATAAACACACGAAGCCAAGGCAAATTAAAATAAAATTAAGTGCAGAGAAATATGGAAGGAAAATCCAGGCTGTTTGAGGGGGGGATACGAGGAGCTAAGGCCATCGGCTTAGCCTTGTCCTTGTCCGACTGAAAGGCAGTTTAAAAAATAGTTTAGCAATCGTCAGCCCCGCGGACAGAGAGTCACGTTCGCACTGCCCACTCCTTGGATCCCAAACCAACCAATGACTATGCCAAAGCCACTCCATCTAGTCCACATCATCGTCATGCGGTAATGAGCCAAGTGAGGTTCTTGGAATTGCGCCAGCGGCGCGTCCTTGAAACTGGTTTCGCCCCATAAACAAGGCGGCCATTTGCCTGGCTAGTAACTATGACTCCCCAGACCCGGACCCCGACTGTGGTGCATCTAGAGTCCGATTCCTAAAAACCGAAACCGATTCCATCTCCAGGCCATTAAAATTTTGCACTATTAATTAGACAACACACTGCTGAAATTTACGGCAATGACCTCTCTCCGAGACCAATTAAATGCACATTACGACAACATATTGCTCAGTTCTGAACCGCAGCGTCCCAGGCCTAAAAGCGTCTATAAAAATCAGCGAGACAAGGTTCAAAGCTTCTGATAAAATTAGCAAAATTATTACTGAACAGTAGCCGGAGGAACTGGCGCTGGCGCATATATCTGATACGGCAGAGGAGGGGGGGCCTTCTAAAGGGGGAGGGGGAAATATACATATGGATGGGGGCCATCATCAAGTGGTTGGAGGAGAAGAAACGCCGGAGGAAACACAGAACACAATTTGATTTGCCAAGTCGCGGGCGACAGTGGTGAAGCCATGGGTTGTATGGCTTTAAAATTAATTAAGTTTATATTTTTAATGGATTTTTTTGTACATTTTCATTAAATTTAAAGACGAAAAGTTAGATTAAAAACAGATCATAGAAATTCTTACTAGTTTTTATATATTTTTGTATCTATTTCTTCAGGGCAAAAATATATAAAGCTATTGAAAATATATGTATATTAATTATATATTTAATCTATGCTTAAAACAAAGATTTTAAAAAATGAGAATAGGGCTTTGGCCCTACTTAGGTAGTGAGTTTTAGGACTATTAAAACTTCTATTTCTAGCAAATTAGCTAAGAAATAAATGGAAATAAGTATTTGGAAGATGTAAGACATTTTTACAGACCTTACACTTGTTTGATAATATATAATATATGTATCATATATATATATATATATGTATATAATTTTAACAAATTCCCAACTCATCTACAGTCAGTTTATCATTTTACTAACGGGCACTTATCGTTTACGGTCATTCATTTGGGAGTGGGCTATCAGTTTATGACTGGAATTTAATTATGTTACCACTGTGCAATACAAAACACTACACAGAAAGTAAATATGTAATCTGATAACTGACTCTACTGAATATGCCCTAAAAATGATCTTAAATAATTTTCAAACCAAATAAAAGTTAATTTTTAAAATGAAACAACTAACCAAGCTGCTTAAAAATTCCAAAAGGGATCACCCTATAACGATTTCTTAATTAGTCAATCATAATTACCGATTTCTCTTAGTGTACAAAATGCGTCCATCGATGCACACGCAAATGTCACATCAATTAGCCGCACTGAGGGCCGCAAGATGTGGCGATTGCAGCTGGCCAACTTAGTAAACTTGGCTAGATCCGAGTCGCTGGCTAGCAGACTCGTAAAACATCAAATTAACTTTGACTAGGTTGGCTAATTTGAAAAGTAAAAGGCAGTTGGGTGAATTGGCCATCTCTAGCAGTTGTTGATGTTGGTTGCTCTGCGGTTGACTGGTTCAATGGCCTCCCGCCCGACTACCCGACCACCCACTCAACAGCTGTTGTTTGACCTTCGGCATTGACTTTCCTTGATTTCTACAGAATGTCGAGCAAATATTGTGATAGCCAGCAGTAAGTAAAAACAAAAGCCAAAGCTAACTGTGCAAATATTATATAAGCACACGCAGTTTATTGACAGCCTGTTTTCGGCTATTTTTTATTACTGTCTGATAATCACCTTTGATGCGTTTATTGAACCGATAAGGCGTCTGATCCAAGATCCATTAGCTTATGGGGAAGTGCCGACCAGCTGATAAGCGTGTCGTATTCATTTATTTATAGACCATAAACTACTCTATAAATAAAGCCAGGCCAAGTTGTGCATTCATTATGGTGTATAGTATTCATTACCCACTTGTCTTGAAGCTGCTATCTAGAGCGGTTCAATCCAATCAAAGCCAGGAAAGTAGGAAATCGATAGTTAACCATTGGCCATTAACTATTTGTTAAAGTTGCTGCGGCAGCAGCAGAGGCAGCGGCATCGGCAACACTTCAAAAATTTGCTGCAATTTGCGTTAATTATACGCTCCGTTGGACGAAAAAAGCAACAGCGGCGGCGAACAAATAGGGAATGTCGATGGAGATTTCAGACACGAATTTAGGCCGTAAAACAGAGCTCTACCCTAATTTCGCTTTTCCCGAAAATTAACCCACAATTTTTCCACCATTCTCCCACAATTGCAGATTGAGCATAGCAACATAGTATGCGTCTCTTCAAAACGCGCAAATCCACGGACACCTACAGCACTCTAGCAGCTCAGCAACACCAACAGCAGCAGCAGCAACAGCAATCCGACAACACAAAAGCTTGCCAGAGCAGCAGCAACAGCAAAAGTCACACGCCAGCAACATGCAGCAATCGACTGAACAAGAGCATTGTGAGCAGCAACACCATATCCTCATCGCTGCCTGATCTGCATGACAAGTCGCCCGTCATGATACTCAGCTGCACAACCCTGGCCAGCAATGGAGCCACCGCCACGGCAGCGGTCACAGCAACATCAACAACATCTGCCGGCGGTCTGCAGCAGCAGCAGCAGCAACAGCAACACCATCAGCAGCAGCCGTTACGCACGGCCACGCCCACATGTCTACTAAGTGGCCGGCAGACGCCATCGGCCATATCGGTGATGTCGCTCCAAGAAGCCACCAGTTTGCACCGCCAGCAACAACAGCAGCAGCAGCAACATCAGCCACCCACTATCTACGTGCCCGTGCCCACGAAACTTGGCAGCAATGTCAACACTGGCAACAACTCGGCAACATTGCTGCTGAGCTATGGCAGCACCAACAGCATTGCCACCATGCAGCAACACCAACAGCAGCAGCAGCAGCAGCAGCAACATGCTGCCCAGTACCAGCAATATGTTGCCCAGCGTCTGCATGCCGCTTCCAGTAGCTGTTTGTATGAGAAGGGGGCGAATACCAGTGGAGGGGCGGGCAGTAACAAGAGCAGCCGATCCCTGACCCCAAATGGTAAGTCATTTATACGAGTATCCTTAGCTTTGTTCCTGCTAGTTTTTATTTTTAACTGATAGTACCATTGGCAGAAATCTGCAATCATTGAGTTGCCAAAGGCAATCACTTTTCATTATAACAGAATTTGCGGCATCTTCAAAGTAACCCAAACCTTTAAAGACACAAAAATGTCTTGCCAAATTGTCAGGACCAGTGAGCAGGACATGGGAATCCCCCTGCGACAACAGGCTAATGAAGAAAAGGCTCTTCTTATCACAGATATTAACAAGTCTCAGCCAGTGCTCTTCCTTCATTCCCTGCTCAGACTCCCAAATGCTACAGTTACTATTGGCACCTAATTCCAGATGATTTTCAGCCGAAACATACAGCATTTCCCTTTTGTGTTGCAGGCACAAATGACGACTTTTCAGCAAAAGTCTCAAAGATCGCGGCAAACTCTGCCACATATTTTGAAGTTTATTGTTCCACATTTCTGGTTGGTTTCCGTGGAGTTTCCACAAGTCCAGGGCAAAATTCGAGAGAAGAATCTCATTGAGAAGATAAGACCGCCTGAGGTACCAATATAAGCTCATCCAAAGTTTTACCATGAAGGAATTTCCAGGAGTGAGTAGCTTTTGGAGCTCCACTGATGATCTTCCTTCCTCTAGAAAATGCCACCAGGGAATATTCCAAGACACTCGCTCTAGTTGTTCATCACTCAAAGACGAACTCATTTCCCTAGTCCAATTATCGAATTCCAAATGACTGCCATTAAGATGTTTAGCCACAAGATCTATTAGGGGTTCGTAAATATTGGCATTATTCACAGCTGTAACTGGACCTAATAGCCAACTTAATCCCAAAAATAATATGAGAGTGATGTAAACGACCATTGCGATGAAAAATCTTAATTAAACTGATCTACAGATTCCATATTCGTTCAGATTTCACGCTGACATTTCCGGGTATCTCTCCCTTATCGCTCACTTTTTGCTTTTTAAAAATCTCTTCGAATTAAAAACACCAATGGCCGGATTTGTATTTCCTTAAACAAAAGTAATACCTACTCCTCTTTTCACAGGTCACCTGCCCGACTACAAACTGGTGACTGCGGTGCCAGTTGTTGTCCTGGACGATGAACACAAATCGAATTCATTGCCAGCCAACGAACCGAGTCGCAACAGCAACACCAACATGAACAGCAGCAACAGCAACGGCAACAGCCTTGACGTCAGCAACAGCAACTCAAACAGTGGAAGCTCCACTTCTTTGGCCAGCACCACGAGAAATGGTAAGTACTATGGCCAGAAATAGAATCCAAATCCCAGGCAAATGCCTGGAAATTGATTTTCCCATCAAGTGGCAGAGGCGCCTCGAGTGTTTTTCTTTTTTTCCCCTTGAAGTTTATTTTATTTTTGAGCCCATAGGGATGGGCCTTGTGGGTCACAGAAGGTGATGAGAAAAATGAATCCATAAATTATAGGCCTGGCAGAAGAGGGTGTGTGTGTGTGTGTTGTCAGCCCGGTATTAAGAGCTCAATTTAGAGCAGATTTTAATTGAAACAATTAATTTCCCGAAGCTAAACATAGGAAGCAGCACTCCCAGTGCTTCCGCGTTTAGCAATTTTCCATTTAGCGGAGCCTAAATCAGAGCCAATCAGTTGGCAATTGTCATCGATACGATGGCACAGGCGAGCACTCCAAAATACCGTATTGACCCGATTTCGCATCAATGCCCGCCGACAACATCACCACCACATCACCGTAATGTGATCCCATATGTCTGCAACTGGAATTTGTATTGTTTTCAGCTCGGCACGAGTTGGAAGTGAGGAGACCTCTGGCTGTGGTCTCGTTTTTGAGGAGCAGCCCACCCTAAAAGCCTGGGCTACACACAGAAAAAATAACATCGAAATTCAGTATTAATTTCTGAGAAACTAAAATTTAAGGGTTTTTTAGGTGAATATAAGAAGAAAGTTAGTATTTTTATCAAGTAAGAACTGATCTCATCTAATATTTTTAGATGACATATGTAGTTGGTTTCCGTTATTTAAAAAGAGAGTTTAGATTATTTCTCATTTCAAGTCTTGTATTTAGTAACCATTTCTTAGAGTATTTCATATCAACTTTATCAACCAATTCTGTTTAACTAGCCTATTTCTAGAATATTTGTATATCTAGTAAATGCACCCTTTCAAATATATATATTTTATAAAATTTCAAATTAACTTCTATCTCTCAGTGTAATACAGCTCCGGCCAACAGCCGACCAAGTGTGACAAAGCCGGGAATTATATGCCATTCAGTGCAGTTCAGTTCAGTTCACTTTACTTTGGTTGAGTTCAGTTTAGTTCCAATGATTCGCACAAAGAGTATTTTATTTACTACTCGTTTTTTCCCTGTTATGTGATATGTAATTGAGGTTTTTGGTTGTATCGATGGGTGGAGTTGCAAAAAAAAGATACTTAGATATGGGTATTAGAGCGGCTAGTTAGATAAGCAAGGAATTGAGGGCAGGAAGTGGCTAATGAAGTGATTGGGAAATTAAAGTTGAAAAAACCAAGAAAAATATGGGAAAATATAAGAGAACTTACCCAAAGAAAGCAAGTGATTTTTGCAATTTTCACTTTCCCCCCAGCTGCTATCTGGCAACCGCAGGCCGTCATTATAAGCCAAGTTCTAGCAAACGGCAATTCAAATAATGTTTTCCAAGACCCCTACGGCAACCGCAAAACGTTTGATGATTGCATTCTGAGATGCCGGCCGACAAAAGCGGCCAAACAGCTGCAGCAAGTCGGGCTCGGAAGAGATATGGCAGGTTTTATCAGGTGCCGCGGGAATCTGCAGCTGTTGCTCTGCGTTGAGATTCATTCATCTTGAGACCAGAGCCACTCCAAAGTCATCGCCATAGCCATTGCATGCCAAAGTCGCATTCTAAGTTCGTTGAGCTTTTGCCGCCTCTAATGCCGAACTTAATTGGCTTTAATTAAAGTTTTGCTAAGTGCGCGCCGCCCCAAGGTCAATTTCAGTTTACTATACATAAAGACACGGCTAAATAAACAATTGTAAATGGCTTTCAGCGAAAGAGAGAGAGCTGGAAAAAAAAGATCACAGAGAACAAAAATCAATAATCTTAAAGCTTCTCTCAGCATAAATGCTATAATTTTCGATCCAGTTGAGGTTTGAGGATGGTTTCACCACCTAACCATAATTTTTTTTTTTTTGCTGGCGCTGCACGCATGCGCATTTATTGTGGATTATCGCTTATTACACGTTCCCCTCCCGACTTGATTTCAAAACCGATTATCGATCTCTCATTGCCCGCCAACTCCATTCCGTTATGGCCAACTCTTCTCTGGGAGGAATTCTCCGCCAGCAATTCTCATTTGTACGTGAGATATTATTGCATGCCATGTGCATTTGGTTTCTGCTCGATTCCCAAACTGATTTCGATTCTGATGTCGATGTTGATGTTGATTCCGTTTGATCTGAAAGTGGCACAAAATCGCGACTTTTGCGTTCACATTTGCATAAATATTCCGCCTTTCCCATGCCTCATGGTTGTTGAACTTTTTATTTTGATTTTCTGATGCATATCAATTGAAATTGAAATAAGGTTATATGCTGAAAACTTTTAAGTTTTAAAATGATTTCTTTTTCGTATTAAACTTCTTGCCGCATCATACTTCAGCCTTAAAGGTTGCATATTTGGAAAATATATTTCTAAATTTTGAATATTACAAAGTCTTACATTTTAAAGTAAATATTAAGATTTCTTTAGCAGTTAAATAGGTAAAAAGTATGTTGAGAAAATATCTAAGATACAATAGATTCTTCTTGGTCCATTGCTTCCTCTGGCAACTCTGGAAAACTCCACTTCACCCATCGCCCATCTTTCCCGCTTCTCCGTTCTCTCTCCTTCGCCACTTCAGATTTTTTCAGTTCTAAGATTCAGTTCCAGCTCTTTGGGTCTCAAATGGTTTTGCCTCAACATCGCTTGCATGTCAGCCGGCAAAATTGCAACAAAGCCATCTCCGACTAGCAACATTTTGAGGGGTGGAACAGGAACAGGAGGGAAACGGGCCTCTTCGGCTGGCGGGCATTTGACACCGTCTTGAAAGTTAAGTGGGTGTAGAATTTGTGGCATGTGGCCGGCGGTGACTGCAGATGGAGATGGTTGGGGTTGGGAACTGGTAGAGAGACTCTTGGAGTGTGGCTGAGGTTGTCATATAATTGATGCCCGCGCGCCGTTTCCTATTATTGTTTAACACTCTGCTGCAGAGCTTCTCCCATCCTCCCTTCCCTTCCATCCAATCTTGCCTGTATGATTGCAATGGTGAAAACTTTAATCAAAGGCGAACTCGGTCAGGCCTTGGGTGGAGTTTCGCCGTTTGGAGCGGCTGTCAACCTGCATTGGCTCTGAATCTGGCCACCCCTCAAACGCCTTCTCATCATTATCATCATTATCATCATCATCATCATCCTGATCCGCCTCCCGACTTCCAAGCCAAATGCGCCCACACATGGCCTGTGCCAGGGCAATTTGGACGGACCAAAGCCCGCGGCTGGGCTGCGGCTATTAAACAACTTTGGCACGAGTCAGCGAAAGAAGCTAGAGGATTCCAGAGATGGCTTACACTATCACCTAGTGATCACCAATGATGAAGTGACTTAACTGCAATAGGGAATAAATTAGAGAGATTTTTCCAACCGTTTTTAAATATCTATATTGAAAATTTCTTCACAAATTACTTAAAAAACATAAAACTTGTGATAATGCTTTCAATAACGATCTACAAAGAGAATCTTTTTTCAAGTGTACGCTAGCCTGAGCTTTTAAAGTGGGTTACTCAGTGACCTGAGTCACTGCCTCGCATCACTGGTCACGGTTTTGGGCCGCTCTCCGCCACTTCGATTTGATGAAAATAGTTTTGGAAATTTTATTGGCTGAGCCGTATAATGGGCTTTGAAGTCAATGGCAATGCGATGCCTTCCTGATCCCTCGAATCTTTTGGTGTGCATGTTTTATGCTAATTGTTAGTAAATGCCCCCTTCCCGCCGTCCCATCAGGTGGTCTACAGGCGATAAATATGGAACAAGCGCATACATTTGTTTATTAACCAGATGCTAAGAGGAGCATTCTATCGCCCAGTCTCTCTTTGCCATTTTTAAGTGTTTGCAGTTGCTGTTAAGGCTCGATCGTTAAAATATTTTACGATGTTATTAGATATACGTTGGGAAGATGGGCAATACGAGTCCATTTAATGATTGGTTATGCTCTATTAGTAATTGAGGTGTGTTTATTGCTCAATAACTGTGCAGAATTACGATCGTTCGATGACCAGGAGATGGGCTGATAATGCTGGAAACTCATAGAATATGTATGCAAATATGTATGCTATTATTTTCTTGATTAAACTACTGCTGCGAGGGTGTAATTTGTAGGATTAAATGACGAAACATTAACATAATCTTAGTCAGAGATCATAAAATACTGAGAATAGCCTTGTCAACCCAACGTGAAGAATCGTAGGGAAGGGCAATGAATACGCTTATATAAAGCTCTAAATTATAAAATAAATTCAATATTTAGGAAACATGGAGTTGTCCTTTAAATAGAACTATTTTTTTCTTCAACTCAACACACCTCAACTCTGACCATCCACGCTGCCTAGTCCTTACATGTCAAAAGGCTTCAACGTCAGTTAAGGTCGAAAGATCTTTAAGGCCGACCTCTTCTTTTGTGACTTTATGTGGGGAAACTCCAACCGCAAATGCCTTGAAATCGGATGCTTTTCTCACAAGCACGTGGCAAGCCGGCTGACCACAATGCATCTGGAGTGGGAGATTGTCATTGGCCATGTCCAAGATCAAGACCATGTGAAACGCTGGACATTTTTCATCTGTCCAAAGGCAACTGCGCCGACTTGTGGCGAGGCGTTGAGATTTATTGAAGTGTTATAATTAAGTTAGAAATCGCTTTCAGATTTCAAACCTCTGCTCTTCTCTTCTATCCTCCCTTCTGCTGATGCAGTTTTCACCTGGGGCAAGCGAATGAGTCGCAAACTGGATCTGCTGAAACGAAACGACTCGCCCGCCGCCGCCCACAAATCACACTCGGATCTGAGGAGTCTCTTCCACTCGCCAACGCACCACAAGAATGGATCCGGTGGATCCAGCGGACCCAGTTCGTCGAAAGCCTCGCCCTCATCCACTGGCGGCCATCAGAGCACCTCCGGATCCACGACCAGCACCCTCAAGAAGTGCAAGTCGGGGCCCATTGAGACCATCAAGCAGCGTCACCAGCAGCAGCAACAGTTGGCCCAGGATGTGGGCACGGGACAGAGCCAAAGTGCTCAGTCCACGCCAACGCATCAGTTCCAAGCGGCTGCCCGCCCACAGAAAGCTCTGAAGAACTTCTTCCATCGGATCGGCTCTACTGGCATGCTTAACCATCGCTCCCACAATCTCCTTAAGGCTTCGGAGGCGGCTCAACAGGCCACACCAGCTGCTACCACCCTATATAGGAGCAGTTCCACGAGCCAACTGTCCAGCTGCTCTTACGTCAAGTGCGATGATCCCACCGAAGGTCTGAATCTTCAAAGGGAGCAGCGGGAGCAACGCCTTCCGCGTATCGCCAGTTTAAAGTCCAGTAGCTGCGATGACATAGCCAAGGTAAGCAGTTGTCTGACGGCCAGTACAAGTAGTGGCAGTGCTGCAGGCAGCCTGGGATCTCCACCGAGCGGTGCAGCATCAGCAGGAGGAGGATCTACATCCAGTGGCCAGCACGATCCCTCGCGACGTGGGGCTTTTCCTTACGCCTTCCTGCGATCACGCCTCTCTGTTTTGCCCGAGGAAAACCATGGAAATGGCCCAGGTCACCTGAAGCAACAAATACAACGGCAGCGGGAGCAGCACCAACAACATCAGAGGGATCTTCTCCAGCAGGAGCAGGCATCATCGCCCCTACCCCAGCGCCGATCCCCCGAACAGGCGATGCTGAACAATGTGTCACGCAACGACAGCATCACCTCCAAGGACTGGGAACCACTTTACCAAAGATTAAGTAGTTGTCTAAGTTCAAACGAGTCCGGCTACGACAGCGATGGGGGTGCGACGGGAGCCCGACTGGGCAATAATCTGAGCATCTCCGGCGGAGATACCGAATCTATTGCCTCGGGAACGCTTAAGCGCAACTCGCTCATCTCCCTCAGTTCGTCAGAAGGCGTGGGCATGGGCATGGGTCTGAGCATGGGACTTGGAATGGGTGTAACTCCATCAACAAGGAACAGCAGCATCTGCAGTGCTCCCGTATCGCTCGGTGGCTATAATTACGACTACGAAACGGAGACAATCCGGAGGAGATTCAGGCAACTAAAGCTTGAGCGCAAGTGCCAGGAGGACTACATTGGGATTGTCCTTTCTCCCAAAACGGTGATGACCAACAGCAATGAGCAGCAGTATCGGTATCTTATCGTGGAACTGGAACCTTACGGCATGGCCCAAAAGTGAGTTGGGCACAAATTAAATTAGTATCCTTACCCATATCTTTAAATCTTAACAATCTAAACATATACTTAACCCATTTTTAGGGACGGCCGACTTCGTCTGGGTGATGAAATTGTCAACGTGAATGGAAAGCACCTGCGCGGCATTCAATCCTTTGCGGAGGTTCAGCGCCTGCTGAGCAGCTTTGTCGACAACTGCATCGACCTGGTGATTGCCCACGATGAGGTGACGACGGTCACAGATTTCTACACAAAAATCCGGATCGATGGGATGAGCACACAGCGCCACAGGCTGAGTTATGTCCAACGCACCCAAAGCACCGACAGTCTGACCAGCATGCAGAGTCTGCATATACAGCAGGAGAGGATTCAGGGACAGAATCAGGAGCAGGAGCAAGAGCCGGATACCCAGGGGGAGGATCAATGCGATGCACGATCATTGGCCAGTGTCAGTACACTGCCCAATCCGATGCCGCTGATGCAGCACCGTAGGAGCTCCACGCCCAGGCACTCACTGGAAATGGGTGGGGCGGAGCACGAGCTTCTTAGAAGGCGGGCACGCAGCTCCTCAGGTCAGCGCAGCTTGGCTCTAACACCGACCCCACTGTTTGCCAGCAGCAGCAGCAGCTGCTCCTCCTCCCCTAACCATCGGTTGCTGGATAACGAGAATGACCCTGCTAACGATACAGATTCCTATACGCCAGTGTATGCAAATCGGGCGGCGAGCGTGTGTGTGGCCTCCTCTTTGGCGGACGATGAGAAGTGGAAGCTGCTGGCCCGAAAACGCTGCTCCGAGGGATCCGCTTTATCTGCTGCGCCGAGTCCCCAGCAATTTGGTCAGCGCACCCACTACGCCAGGAACTCCATTAACCTGGCCAACTCACACTACCGCTCGCTCCGGTTTGCCCACTCGCGATTGAGTTCGTCGCGCCTCAGCCTGTTTATGCAGGCGCCGCCTAACAGTCTAACCGTCGGGGAGGGAGTCTCTAACACCCCATCCTCTCAAGCCACCACAACCACTGATCTCACTAACCAGCAGCAACAGCAGCAAAACCAGCAACAGACACACCAATCACTGTACATCAAGCACTCGCCAAAGAGCGTCTCATTGTTCTCGCCTAATCCCTATGTTAACGCCTCATCCTCACCAGCTTCGGCATCAACATCAGCGGGCGCAGGTACTTCCTTGGCCCCGCCTGCCGCTGCCCTAATGCATCACAGGCCATCACTGCCGGTGGCCAAACTAACTATACGCGATGAGGAAATGGCGGAGGTCATCCGCGCATCAATGAGTGAGGGTGAGAATCAGTAATCCAATAAAGAATCTACTTGAAGAAATCAAATTAGTTTAATTTTAATATTATACCTATGCCTTTTAAAATTAGGTATTTCCCCTTCTTAAACTAAAAACGCCTTTCAAATTCCAGGCAGTGGTCGTTGCACCCCGAAGACAATCACCTTCTTCAAGGGACCCGGACTGAAATCACTGGGCTTCAGCATTGTGGGTGGTCGCGATTCACCCAAGGGAAATATGGGTATCTTTGTGAAGACCGTATTTCCCTCAGGCCAGGCAGCCGATGATGGAACTCTACAAGCAGGTATGTTATCATGTATTAACAAACATCTGTACTCAGAATTTAATGAATTTAATGCCCAACAGGCGATGAGATTGTGGAGATAAATGGCAACTCAGTGCAGGGCATGAGTCATGCTGAAACCATTGGACTCTTCAAAAACGTTAGAGAAGGCACCATTGTGCTCAAGATCTTGAGAAGAAAGTAAGTCCAGCAAAGTAACTATTCTTATAAATATAAATCTAACGCTCCTTTTTCCTTTTACAGATTGCAAAAAGCTAAATCGATGGGTTGTTAGTAAATACCCATTTTTGACTTATCCCCATGATAATACCTGATTATGGACAACCTGCATCGTTTAACCAAGTTAAATGTTAGCTTCACCACTTGAGTGAAGTCTTTTTTCGTAATCGTACAAAGCCCCTTGAAAGAACTATACTTACACACAGACTTTAATTAGCACCTAGAACCCAAAATAGTATATACACAATTGTATGGAGTTACAATTTTAAATTATTTACCCATTCTAGACTAGGCTAAGGTTCGAAACGTTGTACAACTTCTATATACATACAAGTTAAATATATTTACCTGAAAAACTACTAATGGTTTGTTTTAATGACAGTTTTTTAAAATTAATCACGCCGTTTCCGCTTCATCTTTGACAATCAGTCGTTGCTTCTTAACAAAATGGTCTATCCGGTTCTCCAAGCTCTCTGTAAAGATGATTGATTAGAACTAATTAATTAAACTCTGAAATATAAATACTTGCCACAGCGTTTGCGTTCGAGGAGTGGTTGATATTGACGCGGCTTGACAGAATCCTGCAACAGGATTACTTGTGCCTGCACCTTCTCCGTGGATTGAAAGTTCTCTTCTAGAAAAGTCTCTAGTTGTTGGAGCACATTTCTGATCATGGTGCTTTTTACACTGAATTGTGTCCACTCACATTGAGTGTTCTCAATAAGCTTTTGTAGATTTTCCTTATTGTAAATCCAGGTTGTAAGATCACTTTTTGATTCAGCAGAAGGATCCGAGTCCCCGGTTTCCTCCATGGTCGTATCCATAGCTTCTTCAATTTCTTCCCCACCAGGTGAATGGTTTATATTCCTCGTGGTCTTGTCTCGAAAATCGCAACTAAAGAGATTTAAGGGCAAACCAATGGCAGGAGTGTACTGAGGCTTGCAGGGATTGGACTCCACATCGAGCAAGTCACTGATAACGCTGGGTTTCTCTTTTTTCTGACCAACAAGTAGTAGTACTGCCATAATGCATCTTATTTGGTGCCAGAGGAAGGCATTAGCTTGGATCTCCAGATAGTACATGTCGTAGCCTTTGGATACAATAAAACATTATAAATATATCCCATATCCAAACTTTAATTCAAGTACATACCTGAATTTAATTGTTTCTCCTCACAAGCTTCCACCCTGGCTGATTGCAAGTTCCTCATGTAGTTCGTCACTCCGTTGTGCACGTCCATTTTGCAGAAATTTCTAAAATCCGCATGGCGCACTAGGAGATTGCAAGCTTCCTGCATGGAAGAGATATCCAAGTCACCCTTCGGAAAGTAGTAACGATAGCTACGCGATACGCAATCAAATCGAGCACTATAAACAGGACTACGCAATGGCATCCAAGCCACACACTGGATGTTCTTGGGTAGGACGCGATTCAACAGACCACAATAATCGATTTCAGAGGAGAGAGCCGTGGGATCCAGTTGAGTTTCGGGTGAATGCTTGCTGCGAAGATCGATGGAAATCACTTGGCAGAATGCGCTTACTTCCTTGTCAGTGCGTCCACAACGATGATAATTAGAGGTGGCACGAGATTCAATAAGGCAAGTTCGACTTAGAGCACGGAACAAGTTTGATTCTATGGTAAAATAATAAAATATAGCTACAAATAACGATCAGCCAGGTTTAAAATCTACCGATGGTATCATTAGAGTCCTCCTGGCAGGCAAATCCTTGATAATCCCAGCCAAAGTAGGTAATCTTTAGCAAAACATGACGCCTGTGAGCACTGAAACGAAAGAGGGATTCATAAGTCCTTACAAAATCTGTCAATAGTACACGGACTAACCTGCTCCAATCGAACTTACGTTGCTTCTGCATTTTGCTGGACATCTTTTCATCTTTGGAAACTTTGTCTTCCTTGTCTTTTTCAAATAGTAAAGCATATTCCTTATCATTTTTATCGTGCTCAGTTAGCTTTTTCTGCAGCAGATTTCGCAGCTGAAAGTTGTAAGCTTCCAATTGGACAACCTTATCAATCAACTCCGTTTGGCTCAGTTTTTCCAGAGCCTCACGGGGCAAACCTTTTAAACGTTTATTAATAACAATTTTTTTGTCACTTGCTGTGCTCATTTTGGCGGCAAACCGAAAATAAACAAATTGAAAGCTACACGTGAAATTCGATCAAGCTGTTTGTCATTCACCGCGAAACGCGTTTATTAGAGATGTGCAATGCTTGTTATTACAACTAATATCTAAGTCCCACTAGTATACATTTATTTGGTTCGAATACATAATTCAGTACATATTAAGCTGACTAAAAGTAAATCCGCATTAATTGCTTTGCTGATTAAATATATTGAACTCGCTTTGTGACGATAGGATTTTCATGGACTTAATAATTTATCTACTACAGTCCCAACTATATTCAATCATATAACGAATGTGCAATATTTGATTATAAGACTAATAGTTATGTTTCACTAATAATAATTTACTTGTATTACATTGATTAAAAACTGAATCCGAATAAAATGTTTTTTACCTAGCGCGTTCTTTAACGTATCATTTACATTGAATTGGGTATGGATTAATTACGTATTTAAACTGATAGTGGGTGTAAGTCATAGAGTAGGCCAAATGAGATGTCAGACTCACTTATATATATAAACGCTCACCAAATACTTTATTCAATTAAAGTTTTTAAGTTAAAAAATTTTGTAATATTTCTTTATCGGTAATATAATATTATAAGTTTACAAATGTGGTATATTTTTTGGTATAAACTTGTATCTTCTGTGGCTTCAAGCACGGTCACATCGTTCTCAGGCTACGATTTTTAATTTATTTTAGTTCCTTCAAAAAACCACAAAATCATCGAGAGATCACAACAGAACAAAGTCCTAGGGCAGACTTAATAGACTTAAGATCTGTTGCTGCCATTGCTGCTTCTGTGGTGCACCATCTGAAGGTGAAGGATACCACGAACGCCACAAAAGAAGGAGGCAGCAAGGACATCGAAAAGGATGGCCGCGTGCAGCTACAAGGTCGACGGCGAGAACGACAATTGTGAGGCGACCTTGGCCGCAGTGAATCTGAATGTCCTTCCCGATGAGATTCTGGAGTTCATATTCTCTTACCTGCCGCCCTACGGCGACTTGGAGCACTGCAGTCTGGTGTGCAAGCGATGGCACGCCATAGTAAAGAGTAGGTATTTGGAATTGGTGGTCATAATACATATTAATTGTCTTGTTTTAATATGCAGATCTCGTACGCCGCTCGAAGCTAAATCTGGAGAAAGGTCTAACCGACTTCCGCCTGCGCTGGGAGGTGTTTTCCCAGCAAACGGCCAATGGAGTTGCTGGAGCACCTTTGTCCTTTATTGCCGGACGTTTCGCCCACTCGGCCGTGAGACAGGATAACTCTATGTATGTGTTCGGTGGTGGTTCCTCCTCGGACACTACCTTCAACGATCTCTGGCGCTTTGATTTAACGCACATGCGCTGGGCGCGGCCGGTAGCAACCGGAACCTATCCTTCGCCCAAGGGCAGCGCTTCCATGGTGGCGTGGCGTGATCAGCTGGTACTCTTTGGCGGCTGGCGCTACCCTTCTTTGCACCCACCCTACCAGCCATGGTGTTTATTTGACGAACTGCATTATTACGATCTAAGCAAGAACCGCTGGCTGCTGCGTAACACCCTCTCTGGTCCACCACCCATGGCTGGACACTCGGCCACTGTGCACGGCGATCGGATGGTCATTTTTGGCGGCTACCAAATCAAGGACGATGTTAACGTAAACTCTAACGATACGTGGGTGCTGGATCTTCCGGAGCAGCGATGGTGGCAGCCGCTCTTCGTGGGCAATACGCGACCAACGCCGCGATATGGACAGATTCAGGTCGAGCTGGGCAGAAACCATCTACTAATCGTAGGAGGATGTGGCGGAGCCAACCGGGTGCATACCGATGCCTGGCTTCTCGATATGACCAGGGATGTGTGGTGCTGGAAATCACTATATGTGCGCAACAAGCGTTTTGGAGCTGTCCACATGTGGTGTAATCCCGGCTGTAAGGTTAACAACTACCTAGTAGTGGTTGGACCCTCACCCAATACGCCGCAAGACTTCCAGATGATGAAGCAGAGCAGAGTCCCTGTTGTGGGAGGTGCTGGACCGCCTCCACCAAATCCGCCGAGAGGACACTGGATACCGGTACCGTTGGATCGGAGACTGGCTTGGGGAATAGGTTTACAAAATCGCGGGGTAAACATCCGTCCTGAAGCTGGTGGAGCTCCAGCTGCCCTGGGTCCACAGGAACAATATCTGGCAAACCGGCGAGCAATTCTCAACCAGCATATGCAGCAGGCGCAACAATTCCTGCACAACAATAATGTAAACAATAATAACAATAACTACCAGCCACGCTCTGGAAGATTGAGTGATCTCCATGCCCCGCCAGCGCCAGCTGTTTCTCCCCCATCACCGCCAGTGCGACCAAATGCACCGCCATCTCCCGCCGATGGCGATGTTGATGCTGCCCAGCGACTGCAAAGGAATTTGGCTCTAAGGTGTCGTGATAATGAACCTAGACTCCCAAAACGCTTCGATGAGTTATACGAGGTAAGACATGATAAAATACTGCCAAAACCCATCTTAATTATCTTTATTTAAAACAACAGGATCCCTTTCGTATGGCTGCCTTTAATGTGCCCACTCGATCACGTAGTGCCTCACGGGATCACAACGAACGCATACGACGTATGGAGGAGAAGATGAACGCCATCCGAAATTCGCGGCGCAGCGCACCTGCCGCCGCTCAAGTAGAACCACAGCCGCTGCGTGCCCCCTCTCCCAAACGACAACGCGGCAATGTTCAATCGTTATTTGTGTGCGACATCTCCAGTATCCTGGACAGCAGTGAACCCTCCCTTGACTGGGTGGAGTACAAGAACTTCGGCGTGCTTAAGGGCGCTCCGGATCGGTTAATCCTCTCGAGCCTTATTGCTGGCAACGGCGAGTTAATCCTCTTCGGGGGTGTGCACAAGGAGACACTGACGGACATCACACACCATGTGTCCAATTCCATACACTTCCTTAGTGTGCCACGTGATATTATCTAAGCTCTGAACCGGCGTCCGTCCTAGTCCTAAGATATCCGGATAGCAGATTGCCGCTGCTAATCCTCCTCCCAAATCCTTCAAACCTCGGCGTTCGACGTTCATTTAGACATAAATTAAGTGTAATGGATGTGTTTTATGATAATAAACGATAGTGGATCTCCAATCATCAGTTCTAGTTTTAGCTATCCATCAATTTTATTAAGTCGTAAGCTTTTTGGAATCGCATATCACAAAGTTCATCTTTGCATGTAACACACTGTTCCAAGAGGTGTTGTAGTCTCTCATTAACCACATCCTTGAGCAAGAAATCCCTTAAAAGAAGACACGCCTGGTACACATTAGCATCTAGTTGCTGACCTGAACAGAATGCCGATACATCAAAAGTAAATCCATCACCAGGTAGAGGCTCGTATTTCTGGGCTTGCCCTGACGTGGATGCGGCATCCACCAATACCACAGAATCTAAATCAATGATTATTAGCTTTTTGTTCTCTTTGTCATAAGCCAAATTATCAGCCGTTAAATCGGTTAGGTATATGCGAAAATCAGAAAACCCAAAGGTAAGCTTCAGTGATAGTTGCAGCAACTGACGAGCCAGATCCAGGCGCAAACCTTCTTCAGCTTCTGCATAATACATTAATGTATGCCCTGCGTAGGATTGAAAATGCGTGAAACCGCAGGAAGCGTATGTTCGGGGCACTGGAAAGCCCTGTATATATAATTCCTGCATGAGCAGTGGACTGACGTAGTGCATCATGTAAAGCCACACGCTAGCCGAGGAATGACCACGTTGCTCTAAGTAATTAACAAAGCGAGGCTTTCCTGTGAGACTTCTGCAAAGATGGAAGCCACCAGGTCTCTCCTTTAGCTCCAGGAACTCCTTTTTCGGGTTTTCAGTCTTATGTTTCTGATCCTCAATAGCTTTTCTTTTGGCCACAAGTTTGGCTTCCTGATGCACATCGTTCAGCTCTAAGAAATAAATGGTCCGACGATCAATAAGCAACGAAACGGCTTTTAAAAGTCTACTCCAATCCGAGGGCTCTGATATTTTCTGGAAAATATCCTGGCACTGCTCACGCTGTTCAACAAAGCATTGGGGACATAATTGCAGATCCTTTTCGAAGAGCTCCTGAAATACGTCCCTCTGCCGCTTCACTTGCAGCTCCTGCAGCAGGGCCAGAATAAGCACGACTTTCAGTTGCCCAGACGACAGGTGCATCACTGGGAGCTGCAAAGGGAAAAAGGGGAAAATGTTAAGGCCATGATAAAGGGGCTTGCCAAACAATAAAAGAAGCCACACGTGTGTGAATCGTATAGAAATGTGCGTGAGAGCCCAGCCTCCAGTCCACTGGCCACATTACCTGTTTGGGAGCCACATGCCAAAACTAAACTTGAGCACAGAGCCAAAGCAGCTGCTGCGAACTACGCCTAGTCGATACATTTATACTCTTTTGCTTTTATAATATCCAAATGAATAATGATTATTTTATATAAAAGTAATTTAAAACACAAATATATGAAATAGTTTAATATATATGTAAATGAATTTTTAAATTTAAAAATTTCGAAAATTTTATTAATGTTTTTTTTTGTTAAATCTTTTTTTATACTTGTGTATTTTTAAAGTACTGCAAATTAGTTACAACTTATTTTTATTATAACTGATTCAAAACATAAACATTGTTATTTAAAAAAAAACAAATTGGGAAAAACAATTTCTCCATGACAAAGGATTGCCAATATACCCCACTTAGAATGTAGAGTATGCAAGAGACTGGGACTTACAGAAATAGCTTTGGTGTGCTTGGCTTCCCATGGTAAACTGAAGAAGAGCCAATTGAAAGGGTTCAAGGTTGGCCATCAATCGCTGGCAGCAAAAAGCCAGGCAGACGCTTAATTTGTAATCTCAGCAAAGGTGGGAGAGCAGCCATTATTGAGATAGTAGTCGCATCCCCCCATACCCACTCCCCTCTTCCAGTGCCCTAGCCTTACACTAAAAAATGCCTTTTTAATTTCTTGCTCGCACAAAGAATTCACTAAGTGGGATTAGTCGGTCTCAACTACCTGAACTCGTTGAATTCCGAGTCCAAATTTGGGACTCCATGGATGAGAACCCTACCAAAAACTAGCAAAGAGAGCAGTATTTGAAAAACATATACATAGGTACTTTGCAGGACAAAAAGCGAACCTATCAAATCCGTAGGAGCATCATTTGCTCAGGCAACTGAGAACTTGGTAAAAAAAAAAAAACTGAGAGATTGGGAGAGCCAAAAAGTAGAGACCAGAAATCGCTTGGAGAATGTTCCGCCATACCAAGTAAGATCAGTTGAAGGTGGCGCGTTGCGCTCGACGGTTGTCGTTGTTCTGGTTCTCAAAAAAAAAGTTCCCCAATCTCTTAAGGAGCAGCTGTGCTGTCGTCTGCCGTATTAGGACGCGATATCGGTCAAGTTCAGGCGACAACGAGACGACGCGACGATCACTCAATTAGCCTCGCCGTGAGGGCGCGTGAAATTCACTTTTAATTTTCCCGAACTCAATTTTCGTGCAACACAAACTCATATACACCATATAGATCGCTTTTGTTACGAATCTTTCGTGTGCTTGTTGGAAAATGAATTTGTCACAGTGCCAAAAGGTGTGTTTCTTCTTGGAAATGTCCACTTAAATCGTATACTTTTTCCAATGTTCTAAAAAGCCATAAATTAGCCTTAAGGTCGACTGTGAACCCTTCACCACCTTGGTTAGGTACACTTTACGCAACTGAATCGAGCGAATCGATTTGAGTAAACAATGTGCGCCGCAGATCGCCAGATTAATGTTATCTTCAAATAAAGTCGATAAATATTTGCATGAACTCAGCTCGAGATTTCTGAAAGCTGAGATTGGGGACCGATGGGGACTTAGAGACGAACCCGCTATTTACATATTGTTCTACGAATACCCTTTAACAACTGCACAGAGCCTATCAATTGGATATTATGGTTGGGTATATAGGTTTTTAGTAAGGTGCTTTTGTTGGGCGTTCGATAGTAATCACCTTTATTTTAGCTACTCAGAACTAACACACATAATAGGATTTTTTAAGTGTTTCGCTTTGATTTTCTGAAGTCACCCTATCTACATATATAAGTCGTTTGAGCGTACTCCCCATTTGCCCAACTAAAATCTGTACAAACACTTAAAACCGGTTTTATATTACCTTTTAAAAAACAAATACGGACCGGCAATGGATGAACAACTAACTGGCTGACAAATAGACGCGTCGTAGTATTATTTCGGCTTATTGATAAACAAAAGTCCGGCATGTGTGCGATTCGCCTATATTATATACAAACTTGCATACATATGTATATATTTTTGTATGCGATCAACACCGCTAACTTGTCCATGACTACGAACATCTATCTAATGCAAGCGGGGTAATTGATGTAATTAAATTCAAGTTGCGTCACACAAACCCCCTTGACTTTACAGATTATATTTTCAAGGGGGACTTTGTTATCGGACATTTGAAATTTGATAACTATATGGCACACGCCCTTTTCATTAAGTAACATAAAATGGCACGCTGAATTAAAAGTTTGAAAATTTGATTAAAGAAAATATTAAATATCATGGCATAGTTAAGTTGTATAAATTAACAGACCAATGATCTAGCCTAAAAAGGCAACAAAGTTGGTCTATTTTTCTCTCGCAGTCTTTTCTAATTTAGTCCTAAGTTCGCGGTCAAACAAAATCTCGGCAAACTTGTTTCTATGACTCTTTCAAATGTGAGTTTGCTTATTCTTTTGATATTTTTCATCTCGTCTCGCTTTCTATTCGCCAGCGACATTATAGTTTCCATTAAGTTCGAATGATTGATGATCCCTCATGACACGGCAAATTATAAACTGGTTCTCAAATTGCTCATTAATATTAACCACCTTTCTTTGCCCCTTTTGCAGATGACCATATCCCCGGTGGATCGTAAGGAACAGGGGAGCGTGGGCAGTGCTTTGGGCCAACGCTACGGGCAGCTGCTCCACGGAGCCAAATACACTGATTGTGTGTTCCACGTGTGCGAGGAGCAGGTGAAGTGTCACAAGCTCATTTTAAGCACCGCAAGTCCTGTATTTGAGGCCATGTTCTTTGGACCAATGCAAAACAACGAACCAGAGCCAGAAATCGAAATACACGACATTAGTACTGCCATCTTTAAGGTGCTCGTGGAATATATCTACACAGGGGTCGTGGACTACAAGGACCTGGAACTGGTGGCCTGCATTGAGCTATACTACGCGGCGGAGAAGTATCTACTAAATGAGTTAATCGCCGACACACTCTTGGCAATAACCAGGAAATTGCGTTTCGGCAACATCTTGCCTGCCCTAGAGCTTAGTGTTTGTATGGGTTTGGATGGTCTGCTGGAGGTCTGTATGACCTTTTTCATGCGCTGTTGTGTGAATAATGGACAGTATATGAGCCATCTGAAGGAACATTACGTACACGTGTCTAAAGAATGCGTCAAGGCCATTATAGCGGCCTGCAAGGAGCCACACAAGCTACTTATTTGGTACGTTTACGAGTGGACACGGCAGGAGTGCGAACAATTGGGACTACGCTCTAGTGATGCGGACTTGGTGGTCCACGATTTGGCTGGTGAATCAAGCGATTGGCCCGTGGTTTCGAGTGTAAATGATTTGGATTCTCCTACTCTAGGTCCCGTGGTTTCGGTAGAGCGCTGCTATTACAAGGCCTGTAGGCCTTTTACAGTGGATGCCGAGACACCGGTATTTCGGCTTCGCTTAAAGTGCCCCAGGTTCATCTCTCTGATGGGCTTGGTGCTAAACAGTAGGCTGACCCCAAACCGTTTGGGTCACATCCAGCAGCTGGAGTACAGGGAATCTCTGCGTCTCGATCTATGCGAGGTGCCCGCAGACAGCGAGAGTCCCGCCACGACGCCCGTGTGGAGTCAGGTCGTTCAGAATCAGAGTACGAAGTACAATTGCGACTTGCATCTAAACTGGCGGCGCGATGAGGGCTGTGTGCTGAATCCTGAACTGACATATGAGATACATATCTGCTGGGACACCAGTGCCTACGGTGCTGAGTATCCGTGCAGCCTGCAATCCTGCATGGCGGACGGAATGCAGTTCATGGACGAAGATAGCTTTAGCGGAAGTCTCGTCAAGGGACTTCGGTACGCCAATCTGGTTTAGCGGCCCCAGATGCGATACTCGATACCATAATTAGTTAGTCCATAAGACATGTGTGTATTTATTGCCCTAAGTTAATGTACGCTCCCTCAGAGTTCAATAAACTGTGAGTAATATTGCTTCAAACACAAAATGTTGATAAGCGGAAAAAGCCGGTTTGGCGGGCAGCTTTTTGTTTGGCTGCTGTCGAACTCGATCGATGATCGCAGTATGAGCTTCGGGAATGAAAAGTTTACTTACCAGTTGTTGTGGGCACAGATTAAGCCACCTGCGGTATCGAAACAACAACAAACATTAATATAATTAAAAATTATAATCAGTCAGATGTAAACAAAAGTAGACAGGTATTCCCAGTGTGGCCAAATGGTAAAACCACTTTTAAATTGAAATCTAACCGAATATAGGACATACACACTGAACTTAAATTTAATTCGTCTTTTTATATGTAAGAATTGATGTTTTGCTATAGTAACGCTTGTAAAATGTAATATACGTGAATTTCGTACAATTATTTTGAAACAACAATAATCAAAATTATAGACAAAAAATAATAATAAAAATATAGACAAATAAAAAAAAATTCTTAAATAAATATATTTACAAAAGGTAGTGTGAAAACGAGATTAACACCCAGCTGTAGTGTTGTAAAGTTCTAAGATGGCTCGGATTAGTATTGTCAGGCCAAGCATATAAAACAATAATAGTCGGATTCGGTTTTTATTTACGCCGCAAAAATGACGATTTTGTACAAAGTTGAGGGCAAGGAATTTAGCAAAGACAGTGTTTTCCCGCACAAGAAGGTCCTCTGCTCTGTCTCCACGCGGAATATTGTAGCGTTCAGCGCTCTGCAGAGTGCTATACTTCCGTCGTCACATGGAGGAGATGCCGGCGATGGAACCTTGCCGGGAGCGGGCCTAGGTGTGGGTGCCAGCAACAGTCATGTGTACGTCTGCGATATTGTGACGCCCTGGGAGTACTACAAGGTGTGCTCATCCAAATCGCTAATCAGTGTACTCCAGTGGAGTCCAAACGGAGAACAATTGCTTCTCGGTTACATCGGTGGACGCGTTGAGATCTGGCAGCCTCGGAATCAGTCGATTAATCTATGGGTGCTTCAGTACCACGCTACTGTGCCCAGTGAAGACATTATTGATGCACAGTTTTTTCATAATGGCAAGGGGCTAATCTTTAATCCCCAAAAAAAGGATCACACCTATTATGCGGAGAAGTTCGAGAGGATGGAACAGCAAAAGCCCACTCTCAGCGGATTTGGTGGAGTCCCCAGTGAGGGCTGTGTCCTGCTAACGTCTTCTGGACTGATTGCCGCCTTTAGTCTGCCCGTTCTGCAAAAAACATCCGCTGGCGGAGGAGTTGAAGGAACTGCCCACGAAATCGTTGAAGTGACGCCCACACTTCAAAGTATCGGCATATCCCGCAGCTTTATCGAGCATTGCAGCATAACGCCGAATCCATCGGGAGCCCTTAGCGTTGCCTTTACTTGCGGCTGGCAGAAACAGTTGGTGCAGTGTTTCCGAATTTCGCTTTCCTTGGAGGGAGAACTCGGTCTCGAGCAGCATCTAGCCATCAAGTCCGAGTCACAAACTAGCATATTTTTGGGTCCCCTCGACGGAAGGCGAATCAGTCACCTTAAATGGACACGGGTGGCCAACGAGGATGTGATCTTCATAGCCTACGCCTGTCCTGATGGTGCTGGCAGCCAGCTCGAGCAATGGACATTGACGAGGCGACATCAGAGTGTCCATGCCCTGCTTCAGGGAGGCGGTAGCACCAACAGCAAGCAAAATGAGTTCGTACAATCTGAAAGTTGGGAACAGGTGGGCAAGGTGCAGTTAAATGCATCATTGGCAGATATAAGTGTAACCCGACTATCTGTCTCCACACCGGAATGTTGTCAGGTGTATGCCATTCTTAAGGACAACAGTGTTCAGGTGCTGGAGCCCAATACCCTAAAGCAGCTGAATCATACCCAGTTTGAGAAGGTTTCAGACGCCAGTGGAGGAGTAAAGTTTGTAAGTGGTGACTTGACACCCACCAGTCAAATGCTTCTTATCTTCGACACTCACGCACAACTACACGCCATGCAGGCACCTCTTCTAAAGCAAGCAGGATCGGGACTGCTTCTACTGGAATATTGCATAGTCACGGGCTGCGATGCCAGCGATGTGCTACTCCTTAATCTTGGAAATCTAGAGGCATTGGTGGAGAAGCTAACGGATAATTTTACGAGGCAGCCATCATATGTGCGCCATTATTATTATGCTAATTTTCTGGCCCTGAAGTCTAATCTGTGCAGAGTGCAACAGCAGGAGTTCGATAACCTAATTATTCTGCACGCAATATCTACCACTTTTAAGAGTCTTTTGCGACCCTCCGATCTGGGCTTTCAGGATAAGGGACCCGCTGATAACTTAGCTATTAAGCTCGCAGAATCCATACCAGACGTGGACACCGTGATGCTGAACCTCGATGCCAAGGACTTCACTGTAGAGCCAGTGATGCTGCAAAGCCTACAGCAACTGATCCAGTGGGTCACCGACCTGGCTCTCAACATGCTGAATCGCCTGCCCGAAGAAGTGATGAAGAGCAAACTGTCCGGAAAGCGGCCAAGCTATGATATTAGCCGGGACATCGTGGCCATCGGCAGTCTGCGCGAACTTCTGGTAATGATTCGCATCTGGGGGCTGCTGAACACCCAGTGCCTGCCCGTCTATACCAAGACGATGGACAACATAGATGTGCTGGTTATTCTTTTCCGTTTGCTAACTCGTTTGGCTCAAAATCCAGCAGAGCCGGACGAAATGCTTTTGGACGAGTGCAGTCTTCTGTCTAAGCAATTACTGATACCACAGCCAACAAAGTTTAACCCTACCACGCTGCTGAGTGCCCAAGGATTCGCGGCTGTCAAGTTGGGACAGCTACAGTTCACCTCATTGGTAGAGCCATCTTGTTTGCAGGACGTGGAAACAGAGGACGTGGTCTTCGCCCGTTCAGTAAAGGATGGCGTAAGCAATCTCCAGTTAGGTGCCCGACCCAGCACCATCCGAAGATGCGCCCGCTGTGGATTTGTGTTCGTAAATAACGCTAGCAAGGTGGCCAAGACGTCGGCCCTAAAAGCGTGGTTTAGTAAGTGGCTTCACTGTCACTGCGGCGGTTTTTGGAAACAGATTCATTAGTTAATCGAAATTACTGTCTGTCATTCTTAGTTTTAAAATGTAGTTATAGTTTTAAATAGTATTAAAAACCAAGATAATTTTTCGACTCTAAAGAAAGAGAGTAATTAAATTTACTATACATTTTTTATTTCAATTTCAACATTTTTCAAAACCAAGTCATCTTTAAACGACATTTTAAAAATTGAATTCAGTGTATTCTTTAAATAAGATTATTGGGTATTTTTAAGATTTAGTATATTGTCGTTAAATATTAGGTATTTTAGCGCTTTATTTGAGGGTCACACTACTCCAGTGGGAACGATATAAATACAAACAAATTAAAGCTGCAAAAGTTTAAATTTAAAAGTTTATTAACAGCAATACTTATTGGCTAATAAATCGGCAAAAATGAATATAAATCTGCCGAATTTCAACGTAAAGAACCTGGTGAAGGAGGCGGGCAGCACAATATCGCGAGTGGTGCAGGTGAATAAAATCAATGATTTTGGGTGGCAGAAAAAAGCGGGTGGGGTTTATGTGGGGCCTGGGCTATCATGGGGATGAGCGCGAGTGGTGGCCCCTAGCCCGAGCTCATGCACTTATCTTGACTCTTTGCCCTTTTCATGGTTTTCAATGATTTTCCAGCTCACGGAGGAGAAACTGGGAACCACGGAACGCACAGAGTACGACTTGCACTTCCAGAATCTTGCAGAGCGTGCGGATGTGACCAAGACATGGACGGAGAAGATAGTGCGCGATACGGAATCAGTGCTGATACCCAATCCCCAAAACCGTGTCGAGGACTTTATCTTCGAAAAGATTGAGAAGTCGAAGCCCAAAAGATTAAGCAATCTGGAGCATCTCGCCCTGGATATGATCGAGGCTGGCGGGGATTTCGGACAGGATCTTCCCTACGGTCAGGCCCTGATCAAGGCTGGCCAGGCAGAACAAAAACTGGGTCAGTGCGAGCACGACTTTATCGCTACCTCTGGTATTTGTTTTACACAGCCGCTGCGCAAGTTCCTCGACGGCGAGATGAAGACGATCGGCAAGGAGCGCGGCATACTGGAAACCAAGCGCCTGGACCTCGATGCGTGCAAAAACCGTGTGAAGAAGGCGCGCAGCATGCTGGGCCAGCAATCGGTGAGTGCTTGGGTGGTCTACCTAATGGGTGAATTGTATGGGTTTTGTAATGGCTTTCTTAACTATCAATTTTCTCTTGCCCACTGCTGCCCGGAATTTATAGAAAGATGGCATTTCGCCAGAGGCCGTCTTGGAACAGGTATCACACCTTGACCGAGCTCGTGCTCTAGTTTTATGGTTAATCAATAAGTGAATTACTAATCCAGATTGTTTTTTCAGGCGGAGCGTGATTTGCGAGTGGCCCAGGCCGAATTCGACCGGCAGTCGGAGATCACCAAGTTGTTGCTGGATGGGATCAGCACCTCGCAAGCCTCGCACTTGCGCCACTTGCATGCCTTTGTCCAGACGCAGGTGCGTTACTATAAGCAGTGTAACGATGTCATGGAGCAGCTGCAGCGCGAATTGGCCAAGTAAGTTGATGCTTGACGATAAAGGATGGCTGCGAATTTTAACTAGGCACCAAAAAACATGTCCTTGCACCATAAACACCAGGCCTTATTCCTGATATATTCCGTGCTCCCTTCTGGTCATCTCACTGTGCGTTATGTTATCTGTTTGTGGTCTTACAGAATGCAGCATCCTAAGCCACGCCTGCGCATCAATAGCGAAGATGTTGATGGTGGGCCTCCCAGCTCTGTGTCGATGCATTCCTGTGATTCCGATTCCTTAATGGGATTAGCCCTTGATAGCGACCCAGATCCCGATCTGGACAAGTCGCTAACGAATCTGCTGGAAGATTTTCACATAGAGTTCGATACGACAGCCGTCTCCACAGTTTAGGCATCATTTTGTGACCTTATAATCAAATCGGATCTCTTTCCAGTTAACATTAATATTAAATTACACTTAATAGATAGGTTGTTGTTATACGTAGTTGTAGCACCTTGTAAAGACAGGTTTCAGCAACTCATCCCTCCATTTAGAGCCCCACAATCGATCCAAATCAAAAACTCATTAAACTCTGCATCTTTCATCAGCTTGGGAGGCCCCACACCATACATTCCTCTCGACCTGAACGAGGCCAGTGCTAGCAAGTCCAACAATTCGTCCGGAGCCGCATCCCGTGGTCCAGGCAATAACCATTCCACCAACTCGGCTACCGCTGGGCACAAGCCCAATCAGCCCATGCACGTCAGCACGGATCAGATGCAGCGGGCACGCGTACTATGCTCCTATGATGCCAAAGATCACACCGAGCTTAATTTGAGTGCAAATGAGGTGAGTAATTAAAATTGTGTTTATTTCGTCTAGAATTTAAGTGAATAATTTATCGGACTTCCTATAATTTTTGTAATAATCTAAATGTAAACTAAAATTTCAGGTAATCTTTGTGACCGAATGCTCGCCCGTAAACGAGGACTACATGTATGGAAAGCAGGGCCTGATGAAGGGTCTGGTGCCACGCGCTTTCGTCGAAATGCTCGATGAAGAGCACGACGTCACCCTCTAAGCCCTCCAAAAATTCGTTCAGGAATAATCAATCAATCAATAATCTCAACAAAAAGAAATGAACAAGAAAAATACTCCAAGTACGGCAATACTCATATGTTTAAAAAGAATAAATGGTCAAGAGGAATGAAAGGCAATTGGACAATTATAAGATGCGGCCAAAATGGCATTTGGCACTAGCAAGAGAGTACAATAATTTATTAGAATATACATAAACATAATATATACAAGGCATATACATACATAAATGGGCGTGTTATTAAAAAAAAAGCATCGTAGTTTAGGCCTCGTTGACCCTTAAAACCTGATCCTTGCCCAAAACAGCAACGCTACTCACTTGCACACAGATCACGCTCGCCTAGTTGTATTAAAAAAATATACATTATCTGCTGCCTGAATAACCGTCAAATTATATTTATAAATTTACGAAATTCTCAACATTATTGTTAAAATTGATCGCATATCTAAAGAGAAAGTGCTGTTTGATTAAGCTTCTCTACACTCAACAAAGTATTATATATTTGTGTTATGTTTGTCTTTAACTTAATTAACAAAAGCGAAATTCTCTGTGCTTTACTATATATATCCTATAATTATAAAAATATGTACGAGATTGTTAATCCTATTATCTATATATTCAGCGAAGGCGTTTCCGGTTTAAGCTAATTATTATCTAATAACTTTGCTCCTTCCTGCTGCAATTATTATGTTAACACATTTTTTGTGCAATTTTTGAAAGTCAATTAAATGAATGTTTCTTGTTAAATTTAGGGAAAAACTCTGAAACACCAAGGCAAGACTAGCGCTTTATAGCTGAAGATCAATTGCAAAATATTGACGCAAACGTACAATACAACAAATACAAAATAAACAACGATGATTTTTAGGTTTTCAGCAAAGCAAAAACAAGTTGAAATATAAAAAGCGTCTAGAAGCGAATTTTTAAAACACAAACTATATTAAATAATTACAAATATATGATCAAAATGAACAACAAAGATAAGTTTGTTTTAACTGTGAGTTTGGGATTAATAACAATAGAAATTCCAATTAAAGGTATCGCGTACTAGCAGTCGTAGGGATGTATTACCTTTTAGATATCTTTCTCTGATACTTGGGAGCAATCCTTGAACCAATAAAAAGCGACGCACTAAATTTTCATTTGGGTGAATGGATTTTTCCTGTCCTCATTTTACGTTAGACGCCGAAGAGAACAAGGATCCGTGGCGTTTGAGTTCCTTAAACTGATTTTTTGCAATTTTGTAAGACGTGAGAACTCCCTTAGTAAATCATTCGGCAAATCCGTGTCAGGCAAAATAAGGACACGAAGACCGATTAGCGTGGTTATTTGTATTAGCTGCTCTCTGGGTATAAACTCAAATCCAAACATTTCTAATTGCTCTAGCTGGTCCGACTTGTACTCCACCAACTGATTGATTAGATTTTCACAGATTTTGTTGGTAACCGATCTGTTATTTTTTAAGTCATTGAAGATGATCAAGTGTCTCAGGTTGGGCAGTTGGGGGATAAACTTATAAGTGGAGCAATGGTTGGCTGTTACGCTGAGCACCTCTAGCGATGGATAAGAATAGTCCAACAACATTTCATTAAAAATTGGAAAGAGCAATGTATCAATGTTATTTATATGCAGTTCCCTCAGATTGGGTAAACGGTTGCAAATCTCCGGAAGATATTCAACATTTAGGGCTTGGCATCCGTTAAGATCCAATACCTCAATGGAGATTGGAAGCTTAACCAAGACTCGCCCCCTTAGTATGTTCTGGCTCAAGTTCAATTTCTTTAAATTAACCAGATTTTGCAGCTCCAAAAGCGGTTCGTCGGCGATCTCTGAGTTTTGTAGCTGCAGTTCCTCCAGTTGGTACGCCTTGGCCAATATAACGTGCAAGTGAAGGCTAATTTCGGGGCTGCACATTACATGTATAGTTTTAAGATTGCTACAATGATCGCTTATGAATTTAGCCATCCGTTCCGCGTGATCCGTTTCTAATTGACCATGAAGGACCTCTATACGAGCTCCATACAGTTGGAAAAAGTCGCGCAAGTCCCATAAGGTCATGTCCTTGAAACGGGCGAAATCAACAGAAGTGTAAAATCTTTCGGTAGCCGTTAGTAAGACTGTTCTAAAACGCTGGCAGGTCCTGCCGAACCGTAACTGATCTTTAAGTTGCAATTGAAGAATAATGTGCTCCAAGCAATCGTTATTGAGGCCTAAAATGGGCGATGGTTCCTGATCAAGCTCCAATTCCTGGTGAGATCCGTAAGCATCGGGTTGCTCCCAGCTGTCACTGGCCTGCACTAGGAACACTTTGTCATCACTCGCTAGCAGAGCTCTGGGAATAGTCAACAAAGGAATTCCGGTCGTGATATTTGAGAATCAAACTTACTTGGCTGCATCTGTTGCGTTAGCAAAGATCACAAAGCCACTATGAAATCTTATTGATTCACTTCTGGGCTCAAACACGTGGATTTCCAATATTTGTCCGAAGCACCCAAAGTAGAAGCCCAATTCGACCTCCTGCAACTTCAGAAATAGAAAGATTAGGGACGAGACTTTTTCTCATTTGAACACCCAAGATAACCTGAGACGGGGCGTCGCACCAACATAGTTTTCTCACAGGAACGTTATCCTCTGTGTAGGCAATTGAGTCCTTTAAATAGTAGTTTGCTGTCACTAAAACAAGAAGGAAGTATTTATATTTGGAAAACTAGTTGATCTGGTAAACTTACTGGGTTCGCCAAGAAAATAAGCCATTTTACAAATTCCGATAGCGAATGGGAGACGAGATCATAAATTTGGTCAGATAATTCCGCAAGTCGTACATTCAAGGATAAATTTTATATTATATTTAAAAAAACCTTTATGAACTTTAATAAAATAAAAAAATACAAATGTATAATGGGTTTTGAAAGATTATATTGACATAAATAAATTAATATAACAGTTGGATCTCGCAATCAAAGAATTTATACAAAATAGTCAAATTTACAACAATGTTATTTAACCTATTTCACAGCATATTGAATAGAAAACTTTTTATTTGAGATCTGCGATATGAGTTGTTTGTATACAGCTGATTTATTTTGCGGACTTATTAAAAATTAGAGCTGCCACCCAGTCGAAATACTTACTTTTGTACCCTTGCACACAGTATTCTAGTTTTGGTAAAAAGTTTTTAAATTTTTTTTTACATATATATATTCTGGATTTGAATTGATCTGTTTTAATACCATTTGCAACTTATTTTAAATTCTAATGCTGTGAAACTCAGAGAAAGATATATTCCTGAAAGTCATTTAGAAGTCGATTGAAAATATAAATAACTAAATGTGTTGTAGGCATTCATTAATTGTAACAATTATATCCCTTAATAACACACTTCACTTTTGAACCTTTTTTAACTTTTTCCATACGGATTTCGGTCACACTAGTCCTGACAAACTTCACTTGGCGCTTGAAACGAATATTGAATTCCAAGTTTAATCAACTTTATAAAAAATTCAAATTTTTTACATCTAATCGCAGAACGAAGACAGGATATAAAATGGCTCATTTCTTAACTAATCCACGTAAGTGAACAAATGGTATGCCAATAGAGCAAGTGCTTTTGCTGCACATGGTGGCCGGTGCGGCATGTGGACATGCACAAGAATGTCCATTTCGAATTCAGAGTTTTCAATGTTTTATTTCAGCCCATCAAAACTATTATATAAAGAACATGATTGCCTATACCGAAGACCACGTTCCCGTACAGAAGCTGTACTTCTACAAGGTTTCGCCGCAGGTACATGTACAATATAGCACCTTTGTGGTCCACTAATTTTCTGTTGACCTTCTCATGCAGCTGAATCAGAGCATTCTGGAGCACCACTTTGAGGCCTATGGGCGCGTGCTTCGCATGCAAATATTTAAGCCCCGAAAATTTTCCCGTGGCGGTGGGGAACGCAATGAAAATCAGTTTTACCTAACTGGATTTGTTTTATACGCGCAAAAACAAGATGCAGCTAAGTATGTTCTAACGTCTTCCTAACTATTTTACTTTTCTTTCTAATTTTTAGGGCTCTTTTTAACCGGGCTCACCGCATCGACGGATGGATATTCTTTGTTCAGGCTAGTCACAGTTGGCATCAACCGGAAGCTTTCGGAAAACCCCATCACGATAGCTTATGTATGCTACCAAGCGATAAGCCTGCACCGTCTTCCACAATCATGAGCCTAGACGATTACTGTTTAGAGAATATACTCCAATATCTTAGTCTGGTTGATCAAATACACTTCGCCAGGAGTTGCCTGCGCTTCAGATGCGTATACCAGGCGGCTAGCGCCAGGCTGCATAAGTCGGTTAATTTTTGGCAACTCAATGGTATGACTGTTTGGAACATGCGTGACTTCTTCCTTTTGTCCGGTCGGCATATTCAGAACGTGGAGGGCATGCTGTCCCCTATTCGCTCCCAACGCCTGTGCAACTTTTTAGCTCATAACTGCACTAATCTCAAAACAATGGATCTGGTCAGCAGTCCCATAACTACGCGCAACATTAACAAAATCTTCGCCAAAATGCACAAGCTGGAGACTCTGAAATTGCGCATGTCGTGTATACAAGATATGTGTATCTTGGGCTTAAGAAATCTTCGCAGTCTGAAGACTCTCAATTTGAGCGGAAATCCTTTGCAGGGTATTAACCTTGCGAAGTTGCCGGCCACTATCGAATCATTGACGCTAAATGACTGTCAATACTTTCAGGGCTCCTACCTTTCCAACATTTGCAAGTCCTTTCCTCATCTGAAAGAACTCAACGTTAAGAACATATACATATCGTGCGATGTCTACCGCAAAATAATCAACGAGAAGTCCTGCCCATTGCTTGAGACTGTGGTAATGACAGCACACGACGAAGAGAATTACCAATTCGTTGCCAAGTTACCTGGATTAAAGTATCTGACTGTGTTTATCAGTTTGCCTAACGTTAACCCAATGACCAACGAGCTATTTGAGCAGCTGTCAGAGCACAAAGCGGAACAGTTGGAGCGACTTGAGATAATTGGTGGTACCAAACTGGACCGTAATATGCTTCACCTCATATCCAAACTGGTCGGATTACGTACACTGGTCATTTCCCGCATTGTGGCTGACGATGGGCTTGACCGGCTCTCTGGTCTCTCCAAATTGGAGCGGTTCACTCTTCGGTTCTCGGGCAATGTAAGGGAAACTGCCATCTTGAAGCTGTTCAGTACATGTCGCAAATTGTGCTTCCTCGGGCTAGAGAGTACTTTTTTCGAGAGCAACAACGTATTGATGGACATTGTGAACAAGGTGTGCCAGGAAAGGGCCAACAGGGAAATTCAGCGAGAGTTACCCATTCAGCTGACGACCTTTTTCCCCAGCAACAACATCAAGAGATTTATCGAGGCGGTAAGTATTTGTTTATTAGCTTAATAGTCGGCCTCTAGGCATTCAAACTCATAATGAAATGCATTAATGATATTGAGAGAGCTGAAAAGTGGGTTGCGGAAATTTAGTGCATTTTGGCAGATTTTTTTTTGATTTTTTAGGATGAGCTTGAGCTTAACTTAATAAAACACGGCTTCAAGTTAATAACTACACATAATAGTGTTTAATATTTTTGTAAAGAGAGAGATATGTATTTATTGTTTCATTATTTACAAGACTTTATTTCAATTCTTTAAGGGAACAATCAAAGGATTTAAATTCGTATAAAAATTAATTTTTCTAAATTTGATCTAAGACGCCAGTCGTTGTTACACCGCCATTTTCAAGAGTAGTTTTAGCAATTGTTGAAATTTTGTCATTTAAAGCCTTATGATGCCTAGAAGTAGCTGCCTGCAAATTCTTAATCACTCGGTCAGATGCCTGAATAGTTAGTGCCTTTGTCATGTTAATCTCGTGCTGTGCAGTTGGAAGATTTAGACTAACTGCACGAGATGATCGTGATTGCGTCACAACCATTGCATAAATATCAATGGCAGCGTTTGCCAGTCGTGTAAGTAAAATTTGTTCGTTTACTATATTTTTGTTGTATCGCAGCAATAGCTCTTCCACCGATTGACCAAAAAGATCAATACAATGGGCCGTTTTTTTCGCATAGGGTAATAGTTCATCCACCACGTGGACACTAAGATCGGTGCCGCCCAAGCCGACAGTCGAGGCAGCGCGCTTAGAGGCTTCTTTGAAAATCAGACCCAAATTGGCTGAAGGATTCTTAAATGCACGCTGCAGTTCCTTAAGATGGGATCCGGCATATTGGATACCAGTCAGTGCAATAAATAGCCGCAATATGTCGTTTGTGCCCTCGAATATACGGAAAATGCGCAAATCTCTTAGGACTCGTTCCAAACCAGTTTCCACCATATATCCCATGCCACCTAGAATTTGAATAGCCTCGTCGCAAACGTACCAGGCGCTTTCCGAAGCATAGATCTTCGATATCGCCGCTTCCAAGTGGTAGTCTTTGCTTCCAGCGTCCATGTTTTGCGAAATAGTAAAAGCCATCGATTCAGTGGCATATTGAAGAATATTCATCTGGGCCAATTTATCTTGAATGGATCCATAGTTCTTCAGCTTTTGTCCGAATTGCACCCGATTGTTAGCATGGTCGGTGGCCAATTCAATGCATTTCTTCATTGTTCCCGATAGCGTGGCTCCCATTCCGAAACGACCGTTGTTCAATATGTTCATGGCCACCTTAAATCCGTCTCCTTCCTTGCCTAGCACATTTTCGATAGGTATTTTCACATCTTCAAAGTAGACTTCAGCCGTATTTGAGGACTTGATACCCATTTTTTTCTCCGGTGGACCATTTGTAACGCCTCCGAAAGATCTTTCCACAATGAAAGCAGTCACCTTGTCCTTCTTTTCGCCAGTTTTTGGGTCGACTTGCTCGGTCTGAGCGAAAACAGTCATAATTTCCGCGATTCCACCATTGGAAATCCAGATTTTCGAACCATTGAGTACGTAGTATTTCTGATCGGCACTTTTCACAGCGCGGCATCGGATGGATCCAGCGTCAGATCCGGAGCTTGGTTCAGTGAGGGCAAAGGCAGCGTAGACTTGTTCAGCGGCTACTTTGGGCAAATATTTCGCCTTTTGTTCCGGGGTGCCGTACAAAAGTATTCCCTTGAATCCAATACTCTGATGGGCGCCAATCGTGATGCCCAGTCCCAGATCATTGGCACCCACAATGGCGCACAGCCTTCCGTACTGGGTATTGTTCAGACCCAGGCCACCGTAATCAGATGGCACTTGTATTCCAAAGGCCCCAAGCTCCCACAAAGCCTGTGCCGTAGTCTCATCCAGTTGAGCGTTCTTATCGTTGCGAGCTGCGTCATTAACATCGGAGAAGAACCGTTCAAACGGGTCTATCAGGCTGTTGGTAAGGTCCTTTTGGTCCGCGGATAAAACATCTGGGTAGGGGAACACTTGGCTTGATACCAGAGAACCCCGAAATATGTTGGCCATGAAGGACTCATTCTCACTTGCCTTCTCTTTGTTTCGATTTGCTTCCGCTGCCAATTTAGGACTGTGCGTTACAATTCGCCTGCATAATGTAGCATTTCCTGCTAATTTGCTGGTACTTTGAATAGTATATTTCCACATAGTTTCAAAATGTTTGTTAAATCGCCCTTTGGACCAAGAGTATTTAGTGTGACCACATTCCCGATCACCCACAAAAATTTCATCATCGCGACCTTGCGCATTGTCAATCTGGTATATTTAGAAATGAGTATTTAATCTTTCAAATTTAGCACAATCTGGAGATTTCAAATCGCTTGAGAGTAGATTTAAAATTTATGAGCCATAATGTGTTCACAATATTTTTATCTCCAAAAATAATAAATAGTACCATTAAAATAAATATATGCAGCATCCTGATAAAGTTCCTAAGGATATAATACGAATTGTGCCTACAACTGCCCACGAATACGAATATGATTGGATAAACTTGGACTATGCCGACGATCCCGATGTCGACCTTTATGAAAATTCCGATGATGACTTTGAACATTTAAGCGACCAAGACTTTCTTGATATGGGCTTTTTAAGCGATGATGACAAGGAATCGGATTTCGATCCCGTTCCCTAATAATATTCAGGGAGATGATTTTTTCGGTATCGGGTATCCCCAGGATTGAAGTATGTTTTATTTCCGTCGAGGAATTGGATTTTATAATTTAAATTATTCTATTTGACATTATAGATTTATGACCATGTCAAACGTTACCAAAAGACCAAATAAGGCTACAGTTAATTTAATGTTAAATTAATATATAAATATTATGCATTTAATGACGACATCTTGATTAATTTCACGAAAATAAAAGCTTAGAAAATGATCATAGTTTATATTGAAATATGTTATTTTAAAACGCGAGAAGGTACGATCTAAAAGAGTACGAATAAATTCACTCTTTATAGCTTCAAAAATACTCACAAAACCTTTATTACTATTGAGTTTGTCTATTAAGTATAATTTATGATATTTTTTAAACATCCAGAATTTCACGCAACAAATAAAAACACAAAACACTATCTTAAATTGCAGTTTAATGTCGTTATATATGCGGCTTATGAAAAGCTTACAAAAGTTGTTGTTCCAGTTGACCATTTATATTTTTTCTTGTAGAAAACCCTAAATCACTTATCCTCGCAGCTTAGCAAATATTTACAAAATGTACAGTGTTCCATTAAGTTTAATATTAGCTAGTTTCAGTTGATGCGACGTTACTAAAAGTCTTTTCTTACAAATTCAAATTACGATAATGACTTATTTAGTACAGAGAATATAATTATTGCTGCCAGCAGCATTTTTTCTAAACAATTCTTTTTATATTTTTACAATTCCTAAGGATAAGTTACCAAAAAAAAATAAAGCGAATTATAAAATCTCAGGAGTTGTCTATGATGTTATGGTGAGCGTTTGGCCGATTGTCATGATAGTATCCAGGAGTGTATAATACCTGTATGGCGAAGGATATCAATCAATAGGGATACTCTATTAGCTAGTTAAATGTACTATATACTTACGATTTTCGCCTGGCGAGAGAGTTATATGTATATCCTCACGGCTCAGCAAAGGGGCTAAAAATAAACATTTGGACAAAGCCCATACACATGTATATTTTGCGTTTTACCAATCAACGTTTAAAGGCAACAACTGGCGAAGCTTGTGTAAATATTTAAATAACGTTCTTTATTTATTTTTAAGGTGGCTAAAAATAATAAACTGTGTTTTTTGTTGGCTTAAAGCTAGTTTAACGGTTAGGGGTTGCTGTTAAAATAAACGGCCTGAGGCTGAGGCGATTGCATTTAATTAATATAAATCAAATAAAATAATTTAAACATGCCGCGCACAGAGGCAATTCGTTTCCGTTCGCTATCGTTTTTCTTTTCGATCATGTCTTTCAGGTTGAGCCATGCAGTGTATTAATTAGATAAAGAACCTGCCGCCTACTAATTTAAATGCTATCACAGTTTCAAAGTCGAGCATGCAGGAACAACAGTCGGAGCGAGCTCATGCACGTTAAGATAACTTTGTGATCGTTTGCTGCAGCTTTTGTGTTATGTATGCAGGGCGTACGGCTGTTGGGGCGGCTGCTGTTGCTGGTCAAGGCTGCCGGGTGATGTGGCAGTAGCAGTAGCGGCCCCGCCACCGTTGGAAACAATGCGTATCATACCCGGCTGGATCCTAACGTTCTCACAGGCCTCGCAAATATTTAGTTGCGGATGATTGCGGAATGTACACATGTTGCAGGCCCAGGAGTCCAGCGTTTCCTCCTCGTCTGCGTCAGAGTCGGACAGAAATTCTTCCTCCTGCTGTGGCTGCGTCTGTTGATGCAACTGTGGCTGCAGTTGCAGCTGTTGCTGCTGCAATTGCTGTTGTAACTGCTGCTGCTGCAATTGGTGTTGCAACATTTGCTGCTGCGCTTGCAGTTGTCGCTGTTGAAGCAGATACTGCTGGAACTGATAGTACTCGGCGTACGTGGGCGGCGGTTCGTGCTGCATCTGAAACGGATGCTGCTGCTGTTGGTTTTGCTGCTGGGGCGTCAGACATGCCGATGTCGGAGCACTGCTGTGATGCTGGCCAAAGTCCAGGACCGGCTGGGTGGTGGGTGCTGCCGGCACCGAGTGTAGACGCAGCGAATTGGGCGGCGCCTGGGCGCGAACACCTTGACGGTGGCGCGGGAATGGCTGTGGCTGAGGCTGCTGCTGCTGCTGCTGGGGGGCATTGCTAGCGGGAGAAGGTTGCTGGCGGTTAATTTGATTTGCCGCGGTACCAGAGCCATTCGCCTGCGGTTCTGTGGAGTTAAGGAAACAAAAGTTAGTCATGGAAGAATCCTAGCCGTAATGATATTACCCTTACCATTTAGGCATTCAAGCAGCCGGTTACAGTCCTTAGTCAGTTGAATGATATCTCTATCCAGTCTTTCAGATTCGCCAACCGGCACAGGCTCGGTTAGGATGTTGATCTCCTGTTCCAGGACCAGCAGCCGCTTTTTGTTGTCCCTCAGCGCATTGGCCAGCTTGTCGCGCCGCTGCTTCTGTCGCTCAATTGTGGCAGCATGGACTAAAATAGAGATTGGAATAAAGACAGAAAAATTATCAATCAATTGGCATTGGGATGTCGGTCCTCGTTGGCCTGGCAACAAGTGATTGCCTTTCGGCATTTCGAATTTTCCAAATATTCCCCGCTGCTAGATTTATTTTTACTATCTAACGCCTCACATTTTATTACTCTGTTTTGTTGCTAAAAATAATTACCCCACCACCCGCACGGCAGCCGCAGATAGAAGTAGAGGGGTTCATAAACAGAATTTATATTTAAATAGATAAATTTAGTGAAAATGCGCAAGCAAGAACAACCAAAAATCAATCTAATAATAATTTATTCCTACGAAAAAATAGGTAAAAATAAATAAGTACAAAAAACCACACAGACAAAGTCTTTTCGATGCATTCTGTGTTTTGATTTGGGCGACTGTTCATTTGAATATTTTTAGACGCTTGATAGATTTCCAACGGAAATAGCCAGCAGGGCAGTGGGCCAAGGGTTCTCTAATCTATGTCTATGTGGCGAATATGTCACATCATTATGCGAAAAACGATGGCATCTTAATTGATACATTAAACCATTCATTAATGGTTTTCTTGCGCTTTTCTAAATTCCAAAATGTTTTTCCCTGAGAATCTGAACGACATTTAAAGTGTTTTCTCGTGATTGCGTCGCGTGATGAAATGTCAAAGTGTAAGTGCCTTTTGGGCCCACGCTGCGTATGCTTAATACCTTAGGTGATCAAACGGTGAGATTTTCCGTAACGCTTTCTTCTCTCTTTCTCCTTTGTTTCTCTCAATGGTATTGCCACCCACACATTTCGCCCTGAACTTGAACGTCTCGCGGCGAAAAAACAAATTAAAAACGTCGCAGAAAGAGCGGCCAAAGCAGAAGCGTATAAATAAAGTGAAAACGAAGGGGGTGTGAAATCGGGGAAAACATGGCCAAAGCCTGAAGCCAGACAAAAGACATTTTCAATCTATAAATTCGGATCGCGTGGGCGTCCGATATGGATCAGGTTTGATATATATATGTAATGTGCAGAAAAGCAATTGAAATGCAACAATGTTGAACAAGGAGGATTATAAATAATATTTTGCATTCCGATAATCTTTTCATTTTATTAAGGAAGTCAAAGCCACTTACATCATTATTATGACGATTGCCAGGCATTTGAAGAAACGTATCTAATATTTATTTAAGAATTCTCTGTTTCTAAAATACTATCGCCTGCTGATAACTGCCTATTACCTCTCTACCTCTGTACTTCATGACGTCAACTTGTCACTCTATATACTATAAGTTGCCGCTGCTTTATAATTAAAATGATATTGAAATCAATCCCATATAATCATAAGATCATAAGTCCCGGGTAACCCCTAGCTAAAGCCGCCCTTCCTTCACACATCCCTTGAATTTGTATAATTTTGCCCATTAGATGGCCAGCCAAAATGTTCATGTTTGCGGATCATAAGACATGCCAGTTCCCGCAAATTCTATTTCAGGGCGTAATTCAATTTCCTTATCAAATGTAAACAATATTGGGCGAGAACCTGTACACTGATAAACGAACTGAGGAGCCCAACTACGACGTCGTCTGGTCGATAAGCAATGGAATCCAACACGCGTTGGAACACAATAATAACAAGAATGCAGATCCGAATTCGGTTGGCGAAGAACGGAATACTCTTGTCTGTTTAGTCTATGGGTTAATTCAAGTGTGAATAATAAGCTATCTGAAAGATACATATTTTACATTTTGTAAGTCACTTATGTCTTTTTTCGGGGTTTTAGTAAGTTTTCTGTTAATTAAAACTTCCAACTACTAAACTGAACGCCTAATCAAACTTTCTCCAAATATCTAAAATTTAAATGCAATGCATTTTGCATATTATCATGAAATTCTCTGGAAATATTCAAACAATCTTTGTGGATTTGTTTAATATTTATTTTCACCACACCAGCTGCTGAGTATAACCCATATTAGAGTCTATTCAAAAAGTGTGTTTGATTAAATTAAAAACGATTGTTTCATGGAAACTAATAGACAATCCCACACATATATACGTTGTGATTAACTAAACTATTAATATTATCTTCATTTCAGTTTCAAAATCGTTCTAAAATGTACACTACCTCGTCGTAGAGTATAACAACAGAAAATGGACATAAAAACACTTTACCAGGCACATGTGCCCCTTTTAACCCCCCAAGATTCTCGCCGAGTGCAAAAATGTCAACCTTACCTTCGCGATCGCACTCCTCCATGACTCCTTCGTAAAGAGGCATGGTGGGACTATTGTCCACGCTGCTGCTGATCCCGTTGTTGTTATTGGCGGCATGGTTATTATTGTAGTTTGAGGCCACAATGTGGTTCTGCTCCTGCGTAGGATAAGGGAATATGTCCGATGCCATATCGGCCTCCCCAAGTCCGTCGAGCACCACTGCAGCTGCTGGCGGCGGGGGCTGCTGATTTGCCGGAACACTTACCACAGGCTCACAAGGAGCGGCGTACGAAGTTCTCGGGTGAATGCACCCCGCACTAAAGACACTGCCCTCGTCGGTCACCGTCAGTTGGAAATTCTTGTGCGTTCCCCGACGCGCGTCGAAACTAACGCTCGAGTAGGTGATCCCACTACCTTGGCCACTAGGCGCCGGACCGGCGGTAATGTCGATGGCCGATTGTGCCGAACCCGTTGGCTGGCGCAGAGTTAGATTGAGCGAGGTAAAACTCTTGCGGCCGCCAGGAATTCCGGGTGATGCTACCGAGCTGGGCGACGGAAGAGGCGGCGTTGACGTCGTAGTCGTTGTCGGCGGAAAGTCAACGCTGCGGAAGTCGCGCGCGTACGGCGGTTCTGGCTGAAGCGTAATGACTGAACGATGTCGCACGGGCGAGGGTTGTTGTTGCGCTGGTGCGATTACTGGTGCTGCTGCTGCTGACGCTCCCGCAGCTGTAGTCGCTGCCGACGTAGGCGACGATAAGGAGGCCGCATTTAGCGAGAGTTCCGATTCGCTGGAGCTCATGGGACTTGTGAGACAGGAGGAATCGTTGGAGAAGCTGCCGGGCTTTGGCTTAGGCAGCGGTGGAAGGGGCGGTGCTCGGCGCAGTGGCTTGCTCAAGGACGTCGGCGTCAACTGGGGCGGATGGAGATCTCTCTGTTGACGCTGCTGCCGCTGCTGAATCTTCTGCTGCAACTGTGTGCTAAACTGGCGCTGTATATTGAGCGTAGTGGGTCGTGGCCTGGGTTGCGTAATGGGAAGTGGACTACTAACAACACCTGGCGGAGTAGCCACTCCATTGCTCTGCCCCACTTCCGGATGTGGTGGTGCTACCCGCGATGGTTTCAGCGGCGTGGGAGGTTTGGCCTGCCTGTTCTGATGATTATGCTGCTGCTGTTGTTGCTGCAACACCTTGGCCGGATAACTTTGCACTGGGATGGGATGCAGGGCTAGTTCCTTCCTCAACATCTGGATACAGTTGTCGCGCTGATGACAATTCTCATTGACACATTGCGTCACTATAGCATCGGGTATCGTTGGGAACTCTTGCTTCATCTCATGGAACAGGTGCATAATACTAATGTTTGTGCAATGACAGCTCGGTTTGCCCTTGCCACTGGAGTCTTCTTGCTGCGGCTGTGGATGCGATGGTTGATCCAACAGCTCCAGCTGTTCATTGCTTCCGTTGCGGCTGACGGGACTATTGAGGTTCGGGTTAGGGTTCTGATTGTTGTTCTGATTCTGGTTCTTCCGCTGAAAGTGCTGATTGATCGCCTCGGTTAGGGGGTTGCCCTTGCCGCTGGGTTTGCCATTCAATTGGTGGGTACTTGATCCGGGCGGCATTGGTGGTGTAGCCGCCATTTTAGGCCATCATCTGTCACAGCTGGAGACCTGGGGGAATGCAAGAAAAGGAAAAACAGACATCAGTCAGGTGTTTGGCTATAATTCAATTACTGATGGGAGGGAGGAATCGATTTTTTGGTTCACCCACTCGGGTGGGTTATTCCACTGCCCGATTTAGAACATTAACTAAGCGTGTTTAAGAGCACTTTTTCTATTTTATTTATCATTTTTTCGAAATAATAAAAAAAAAGCTGCGGATAAACAGGGGCTAAGAGAGATCTCTGGCGAAATGACATGGGATATTTAAAAATATTTATGACACAACTTAGCCGTGCCATATTGTCTATATCTTGCTTTGACTGGCCAACAGAGTCGGCCATTGTCAAGGATGGCTAAGATAAATTATCACCCGCTTTATATAGTACACACTATCGATGCTTGAAATAGATAAGCTATTGGCGCCTAATTTCCGTGATAGGGTTAACTATAATACATATCCGTATCGTCTACCCACACATTTTTTCTATAAAAAGGCGATAAATGGTAATAAAAGTATTTGCCAATTTGGTATTAAATATTTTGTTTTTTAACAGTTGTTTCACAAAAATGCTAAGTAAACATCTTTTTTTTATATTTAATAGTTCTTAGTAATGGAAGTTTTTAAAAAATTTATTTAACTCACATTTTATATAAATATATTCTTTAGGGTTTATAAAATAAGTATTCTCCAGTTGTATCGATGACAAATTTTTCACTGGGAAATTATCCTTGACAATTATAATAGTTTAGGAGTTTTTGTTTTATAGCAATATATTCATAAAATATATTTTTGAAATTATTTTCTCAAATCTATCACTTTTATTCACTGTTTACTTTTTATATTAGCTTTGAAATACGTTTAATTCTTAAATAAACGTTATTGATATTTTTGTTGAATTATTTTCCGTATAAAGTATTATTCTTCTTTAGTTTGAACGCTGGCATTTTTTCTGCCTATAAACCATTTAGATGTTTTATCTTTTAAGTCACAATAAAAATAAATTTATTAATTTTTTTGGTTTTTATTTCGTTAATACGAAAATTTTCGCGAAGTTCTGAGGAAATATGAAATTTGTTTTCAGTTGGTTTCGAACGCGTTTGAACGCTTTAAGTGCCAGCGAAGAACTGAAAAACAAATACCAAATATTTTTGAGAATGAAAGGCAAAGGCCTACAAATTTTGAAAAGATCATGAGCATAGGAGAGCTGTCTTTATGCTTGTGTGTGCGAGTGAAAATGTTTGGGAGAGCGTAAACAACAGATATATTTTATATTTATTCAAGAGAAAATTATTGAAATTCGAACTAAAGATGCAAGTTTACCAAAAGTAATAACCAAATAAATCAATTACTGTGTGTACTCGTGATCCAAGGATATCAATAAATATCACACATACGCAACGTGGAACAATTGCAATTTGTTACGTTGAGAACAGCATACTAAATGTAAAAGAAATAAAAGAGCCCGTAACGAATCAATTAAATCATTCAATATTTTTGCCACACCAATACCAATATGCAACAGAATTTTGCTCTTTCTCTTTGATTCTCTTGTATAAAAATAAATTTTTGTGTGGGTGTTTCACACAAACACTGCAATGCTAAGAAAATTGAATGAAATATTTGAAAAAAAAAACAAAAACGCCAAAAAGAAAGACTTGTACATATAGAAAATATCTAAAAAAAAAAAAAGGAAAATAGAGGCAAAAAATTAATGATATGCTGGCCGAGGTGAAAGAGTTGAAGACGAGGGAAATTAATTTAAATAAAAAAGCGAAAACCCATCAAGTGGGATAAACATTTAATTGCTGTCCATCAGCGAGCAAATCGCTTAAATTAGCCAATGGCTTAGCCAAGTATTAGAACCGCCCTCGCAGCTCCAATTTTTTGTTTTTCCTGACACACTAAATAAAAACAAATAATAAACCGAAAACAAACCATGTCACAAAATCTATACGAAAGAATGTATAATTCATTAAAAATATAAACCAATAAATTCACAGCGATGGCGCCTTAAAAAAATTGACCAGCAAAACATAAATAATAAATTATAATTCTATTTTTCTCACTTTCCAGTTGCTGTTTATTTTAAGACCATAAGCCAGGCAGTTTTTTCGCCCGTGATAACAACATTTGCAAGTTGCCAGGGAAATTAAGAAGCCATTAGAGATAAACCTCCACGAAAATTATGAAAACAATGTTTCTTGTCTTTTCTTTTCTTTTGGTTTTCTTTAGTTCTTCCATAAAATTCCACCATCATTCTGCGGGGTACTTATTGGCGGATGAGCGGAACACGTAAATTGCGATCTGATATTTGAAAATATTTAGCGTATAAATATAAACAATTTCTCCGTTTTTTTCTTGTTTTTTTTTTTTTGGGTAGGAATTTCTTGAGGGAAAAGAGATCAAATTGGAGGGGAGAAGGAGGGGCTGACAGGGAGGCAATGAAAATTCATTTTGTGTGCTCTTTCGATTGCTTCGTTTTGTTTGCCAGCTTCGTCTGCCTTTCTTTTTTCCTCCCTCTTATTTTTTTTCCTTATAGCGGGTGGCAGACAAACAACAACAACAACAACAACAACAACAGCAGGAACGAGGCGATCGACTGCAGACGTAAACGACCTTCACAATTAGCCAGATATATGCAGGGCAGATAGACGAGATAGAGATACACCCATACAGAGACCGGGTGCCCAGAATGCACAGGCCAGAAAATCGGAAATCGACGTCAAATATTTCGCAGCCAATAGTATATATAAGAAATTGAGAGTACTCGTCGTGTGGAATGATAATGCTATGGATACATATGTTCATATGGAAATACATAGGTACAGTGTGGTTCGGATGTGGATATTATACCATCTAAGAAATCGGTTAACCAGATAAGGTTTCCGGATTTTGTTAAATTTTGTCATAATATTCAAAAACTTTTTTTAAAGCTCAATATTTCACTGTTTACGAATTTGCAAGACAAATTAATAATAATTGCTAATTACTAAACAGATTCCACTATGAAAACCTCAGAAACTTGAAAATAAGATTGTTTTTTTTATATCTTTTGACGAATAATATTAATACTAAAATTAACATTAACTAAAAAAAAGCATAAACTGACATTTTCAATAATTTGTTAAGGGCTCCTTGTTTCGTAAATAAATAAGATCAATAAAGAGAGCTCTTATTTTTCTTTCTTTTTCTTTCAATTGTTTTTCTTTTCATCAAACACATAGTTATGCCACGCACTGTTTAAACAATATACTTATTCTACAGGTAAAAGATCATTTGTCTTTTTCTAAGTTCGAATTTTATTTTTTGTGTTTTCTCGAGGACACGCAAAACAAACATAAAACCAGCTAAGAGCAATAATAACAAGAAAAAACAAATAAAAGTTCGCACTGTGTGCCAAAAACATACAAAACGAAATACAACAAAATAAAAAAAAAGTTTACAAAGTCATTAAAATTATGGCAGCCCACGATTGTTTAGGTATTTTGGATTGCGAGGGAGTGAAATTTCGATGGGCGGGCGTGGCGACGGCGGCGGGTTCACTGCAGGGGAACTCTTGTAATTAGTTAAGCAAAATTTCCATTCATTAAAATGCCTTTGTAAAACTATGGTGGGAGTGATGTGAGCGCGTGTTCTTCAGCTGGTTTACAAGAAAAACTGTCTTATGGGAATTTCCAATGATTACAGTTCGATATTTAGGTATACAAATATGTTGATATAGAAGGAAATGCTAGCCTTCTTATAGTGTTCTATACTAATCAGTAACTGATAAATAATTAATTCTATTTCATAATATACTCGTAAGTAAGAATAACATTTTTATACTATGACTATGTATGTGCTCAATAGGTTTGTTATCTAATTATGAAAAATAGGTAAATAGGTCTTTTAAATATTGTCTGAACTAGCTATTATGTGGGGCTTTCCCCAATGCAATTTACAGCCCAGCAAGCTTATAATCTTTCTGTCTATCATTCTTATAAGTCAGATAAAATCATTGCTGGACTTGGGGATTTACCATGCCGTCTTGGCGCCCCTAAAAGACTTTTGAGGTATCGATGCATATTGACCGGAAATCTCGCTGTCTGGCATGTCAAAAAATAAATATATATAAATAACAAAAAATGGCCAAAAATATTTTTGTATACAAAAATAAATTGTGAAAGGAACTACGTACTAAGACATCCTTCCCGCACCTTCAACTTGGCTTTTGAAACACAAAACATATGGACAGACAGACAAGATACGAACTAGCAAAATAAGAGATAGCCCAAGAAAAGGGGCTACAGTAAATAACATGAAAAACAACTTTCACTTTGTGGTTGAAACAACAAAACGACTTGGAAATTAAATAAAAAGAGATGGCGGGAACAAAAAGTATGTGAATTGTGAAAATTATAAATCAAATGCAAAGACATGAAATGAAATGGAAGCAGCACACAAAATACCAAAAGACGAAAAATGGAACGAAAATTATTTTATTTTGTATTTCATTTTGTATTTGTTTTGAACACCAAAATGCTCGGCGCTTTTCTTTCGCTTTTCTTGCCTCGCCAATAATTTGAAGAGGCGTTTTGCGGAATTTTCTGCAGACGTCAGGCCTTGACGTCATTGCCGACTTCGAGAATGGAATATGGGCATGGGAATCGAAATCAAAATCTGAATCGTAGGGGAATGGAACTGGGTATTGGTTCGGGAATGGAAAGTCAACATGGTCTCGCCTGCCTCCTTTGAATACTCCCATAATATACATTACGATTATTTATTTATTTCCGATCATCCTCCTACCGCCGAATTTTTTTTTTTTTTATCAAAAATGTGCACATGTTCAAATCCAACCAGGTGCGGTGTGGTTTCGAGGGGGGAAGCCCGCCTTATCACGACATTTGTGTCTCCTCGCAACAGGGGACACATACATATACATTTCCCACGTCTCGACCCCTTCCACTGAAAATCAACGCAATTGCAAGCGATAAGATTGATTTGAATTGATGGGAAAGTTTTCATTGAGGGCGTGAGTTTGATTAGTATCAAATATAGAATAGTTACAATGGCCACTAAAATCCTTTTTTTATTAATTTGAAAAAAAAACCAAATCGTATAGGAAGACAAATACTATTACATATAATAAAGTACTTTCGCATTTGCCGTAAAAACATTTATTTATCATTTAGATCACCAAAAGAATGCGCTTTATCAAGAAAAGCGATCTTGAAATTAAGATTTATTATTTTTGTCAAATACATTTATGCTTTTGTTGATTATTAATGATTTTTAACTTTTTAAAGATAGTTTCTTTTTACAATGAAACTTCTTTAATACTGTTGGATAAACTTTAAACACAATAAAACTAAACAACTTGAAAACCATTTAATAAATTCTGATTTAACAAATAGTAGCTATATTTACTTTTGATTATTTGTTTAATGTATTAAATTTATTAGATGTTTTTAAGGCGGAGTTAACTTTTAGAAACTGAAAATAAATCCAGATAATGCCAACCAGATGATGATTGCCTCTCTCCCTCTCTTTCTCTCTCTCTCTCTGATTATATTTGTACTCTCAACTGTGCATATGCCGGGAAATTCCCGCAATTACAACAAAACGCCACATAAACAAAGGCACAAAACGAAACAGAAACAATAACATACACATAGAAAAAATAACTGATTTAATAAACGAAAAAAACATTTCAAATTTACAAGTACTAAAAATTATTTTAATAAGTGCATAATGTAAACATGAGTTCAACAAATGTATTAAATTATCAAAAATAAGTAATCATCCAACATTCTCTTCTTTCAGTGCACAACAAGTGCAAAACAAAAAGTGTTGAACTTGTTTTTCATACGAAAATTAAACCAAAGAAACAACAACAAACAGTGACCGCTTATTATTATTGATAGTGGTAGAAAATCTAAAAGCACACATAGAAAATCAATATTTGCACTTTGCGATTAGAAGCATCGGTGTGTGTGGGCGGTGGGTGGTAAAGTGTGTGAGGGTGGTGTGTGGGGGATGTACCCGAACGTTTCGTTTACATATTTCGAAAAGAATTAAGGCCATTTCGAGGGAGTTTTGGTCGTTATCAATAGGCGGAAATACGTATACGTATATGGCATCATACAGTTACGTGCAGTCTTGCACAGACACACACGCATACTCACCTATATGCAGGGCGAGTGCGAAAGAGACACGTAGTGACTATGTTAACGGCACAAGATAAAAACCTGCTACAGCCAGTGTGGGAGTGAGCGAGAGGGAGGGACAGAGCGCGAGAGAGAGAGCAAAAAACAGGTGACATTGGCAGCTACGCAATAGTAGATAAAAAATAAAAAGATCGATTTAAAAAGTAAAATGTTGGGAAACTTTGAAAAAGCCCACCCCCTTGAATATCACAACTTGTTGCCCGTGTTTAAAAGTGTTTACTTATTGCTTTTATTTGTTGCACTACCTCACAATGATCTATTCAAGTGTGCTTGTGTGCGAGTTGTTTTTCACAATTTTGTTATTTGCACACAGAGCAGAGCCACCCACACCTGTGCAAATCACATGTGTGTGTTTCACCAGAAGAATTGAATTTTACAGATTGCATTTGCATCCTTTCCCCTTGTTCCACTCACCAAATAATTAAAACTCCAAGCACGTTTGCTGATTTTCCTTTGTGTCGCTCCCTTTTGTTTGTTTTCTGGCATTCAATATTGTAATTTCGATATTTCAACGGTTTTCACTTTTAGCTTTTTATCCACTTTTCTTCCTCAAATACTTCGTTTGCTCTCTTTTCGTTTCGGTTTTATCGCACACTCACAACTCCACGCACATTCCACCCAAAAGCTCGGTTTTGTTGGTATTAAATTATTTATTTTATTTGTCGCATTAAACTTAATTAAAACGTATTTTATTCACGTCGCCCTTTCGATCGCGATCACAAAACAGCAGTGTGACCAGATCTGATCACTCGGAAAATACCACACAGGTCAGAAAAGAAATCACAAAATATTTATTCCCTGATAAAGTTTTTTTTTTTACTATTTGGTGTGTATTTTTTTAATTATACTCCATTAAACTTAAGAAGCAGTGACCATTTTAAAATTACAAAGCAAATTTAAGTTAGTACGTTTTGAGTGAGTTATTATTTGTTTTTTCTAATTTATTTCGGAATATGTACAAAAGTTTTCATACTGAATAAAAACATATTCATTTTATTGTAAATAAAAATTTTTTATACAAATTTCCATTGTAGATTCTGGCGCCAATTCAATTGGTATTATAATAGTGTGGTATTTTCTAACATGTCGAAATTGTGTAGTGTTGGGCAACTATATTGTGTGTCAGTCCTGCAAAGCACTACAATCTCGTTTGATTTCTAAGTTGACATTCGAAATTGTTCTTCAATAATTTTCTACTCGATCAACCCAACTCGGAAATGAAGACCACTCCAAAGAAAAAGGAGATGTCCCTACGCCTGCGAGAGTCGCGCAGGGAGGAGCAGAAGACGGAGCGAAGCCATCAACCGCTGGACGACGATGCGGAGTCGGATTTGCCTATTCGGGGTCGACCCTCTAAGAAGCTCCTGCTCCAGCAACAGCAGCAGCGCCATTACCAGGTAAAGCCGGATCCGGAGATCAGGGCAGTCACTATGGGAGCGACCGCGAAGCCTTCAACTTCCGCAGATGCAATAGTTGACGGAGGAAGTGGAGGGCGCATCAAGGCTAGGCGAATGCTCTACAAGAAGAGCGTTAGCGGTATTGGATCAACTCAAAAGGCTCCCGGCGAGTCCTATGTGATGCGCCTGTTCGAGCGTAGTTTAGATCTCTCGAAATACCAAGATGGCACTCCATTGTATCCCATTTGCCGTGCCTGGATGGCAAATCAGCCAAGAAATCCCGCCGTGGCCGCCTTTCAAACAGAGGGGACTGTTCCTGGTACCAAACGCGAAGACAATGGCAAAGAGATCATTTCTAAATTAAAAAGCGGTGAGATGAAGACGCTCACACACCTGCCGCAGCCAAAGCCCACGGATTTGCCTGTCATCCCGCCACGTTTGGAGTTTAGTCAGGAAGAAAAGAAACGGGAAAAGGCTCTAGAGGGTGCCAGTGCTTTCGATCTGCTTGCCTCCAATGTGACTCGTTGGAAGAAGGTGCGCGGACATTGGTTAAGACATGCCTATAAATACGACAAGGAGCGCTATGAAGATATTGATCAGATTATGGACCTGTTGTGCAAGAACAAATGATGCACGAAAAGGAATCTGAAAAGGGAACGGAAAACGAACAATGCTGATTATTAAAAGAGGCATATTATAATGATCATACCCGATTCTGTTACCATTAACTTGAATAAATCCTTATTTGTATGCATATATTATCTTCCATTTTTATGTATTAAATATAATTTGATTTTTTAAATTATATATTTCTTTGTGCATATATTAATTTAGACCTTTAACGAAACTTGTACTTAATTATTATTAAAATAGAACGAAAGGCCGTAAAAAACAGTGGCCAAGGGGAACCTCTAATGAATTTTACAAAAAAGGTGAATAAAACACGATCTATTGTCATTGACTTGAATAAATGTTTATTTGTATGCGTAGAAGATGCGTTACCATTGCGGTTAAATTAGTTCTAGTTTAGAGCTGGGTTTTGAGTTATCATATTTTTTTTCGGTTGGCAAATGCTGCTGGATTGTTCTGGTTCCGATTTTGGTGTTCTTCGTCTCGACGTCCGTGCGCCGGTCCGAAACCCTCTTGATTTTGTTGGGGGTATACACAAAACGGGCGGCCTGGTTGCTTATTCGACCTTGAGCAGCTCCACATCAAAGGTGAGGGTGGAGTTGGGCGGAATGACACCGGGGTGGCCACGACTGCCATAGGCGTAGTCCGGCGAGCAGACCAACTTGGCGCGCTGGCCTACGCTCAACTGGGCAACTCCCTCGTCCCAACCGCGAATGACCTCGCCCTTGCCAATGGTGAACTTGAAGGGCTTGTTGCGGTCGCGCGACGAATCGAACTAGTTGGTTGAATATAACCCTTCATTAGCTTGGGAATTCCATGACCAAGAAGATTACTCACCTTGGTGCCGTCGTCCAGGGTGCCGGTGTAATGCACCGTGACCTTTTGCCCATTCTTCGGGAAAGTGCTGCCTGCGGGGATAGAATACAAAAATTTATATGTGTAAGCGAGACGACCATATTGTCAAGGTTAATTTTCCGACTTGTGCATCGCACATTATGCACTTCTTAGGTTAGAAATGCCGGTAATTAACTGCAGTTCAAGAGGATTTCAATCCTATAATCTTGTACTTACCATCACCAGGAGCAATTGGAACTACTTGTACGCCCATTTTGATTAGTTTTTTCTGGCAAAATCCCGAGCGGAAAATAAGCACGTTGATTTCAGTTCGTCGCGTCGCCGAATGACAGCTAGTGGTAGACGATAGACAGTTGGCGGAAACTATCGCTTAAAGGTGTACAAATACGATAGTTCGTCATTTAATCATTTTCGTAAAGGGTTATCCATTTAATCACTGAGAAGATTGTAATTTAAAGGGATGGAGTTGTAATTTTCCATTACTTAAAAACTTTAGGTATAATTCATTTGGACATTTCATGAAAATATTTCATTTACTATTGAATAGAAACACGATTTAAATATTTGGGCAAAGTTGGCAGCTCTGCTAGCCACTTAATGTTTAATCATATCGGTTATCGAACAACTTTGATTGAGCGGTACTTTTAAAAACGTATATTGCATGCCAATATATTTTGTAATATCGCCCATTAACGTTTATTATTAGTGTTTGAAAATGGTTATGGAAAACAAATTATATTAGAAAATGAGGAGTAGAACATAGAAAGAAACACGAAGTATTATGAAGTAAACTATAGCAAACAAGACCAAACAACTAAGCATTTAAAATTAAACCCCGTCCAGAAGACGGTCAGGACATCGTCGACCCTGCTCAACGGCGCGAACCGATCCGCGAACATTGCAGCCCACGGTGGTCTGTACACGCTTACAAACCTAGTAGACCTTAGGGTCTTTAACCTTTTTGAAACCTAGCAGACCGAAGGGTCTGTAACCTTCTCTACACTAGGCTAAGGTATAACCGTAGGAAACATCTGGGATCATCCGGACCCCGGGGCATACTGTTGTGCGAAATCACGCCACTGTTTTCTCTCTCCACAGCGATTATTCCACAAGTGCCCGACCCCAACCCTGGCAAGGCTGTAGCTTCTGGTGTTCTGGAAGGTCCTAGGCGGCGTATGTGATTTGTAAATAATAAATAACATTAAAATATTGGTAGCCCCATACCGGTTACTAAAACCTAAATGTGCCTGGCGCCACCTATTGGTAGGAGGCCATATCAGTAGCGGTAGATATTTGTGCTGTATTAATGTGACAGTAGTAGCAAATCGAAGGGTCACTTTTCTCATACGTCCAGAGGTCTTATACAAGGTTATGGGTTATTGAGATATTGGAGAATTCACTGTATTGACAAGAATTCTGATATATTATTCCAACTGGTCGCTGCCAAGGGATGAAAAAAATACGTAATAAGCAAGAAATACTGCTGGTTTTCATCATCAATAGGAAAGATGATCTGTTGGGACCACAGATGGGCTCTTATAATTTCTGCAATCTATTTGACTCGATCAAATTAACAAAATCAGTGGTTTCATAATTTCATCGTAGTATAAGCTCCTTTAACTCAATCTTTCGTCATATGTCAATTACGCTGATAATATTTATTTTATGTTAAGAAATTGTTTTCATTTCTCACTTTTGCGTTACTGCGAATTCTACAATTGTTGATAACCTAACATAACAAGGCCGATGATTGGCAAATTCAATTTACTAGCATAGGCGCGCAGAAAACTTTACTACTCACATTTTTGTATTTCTAAGATTCTTTAAAGCTTGAACCAGTGTGCCTTTTATTCGATTGTAAATTTAATGTTGATAAGAAGTGAAGAGGGCCGTAATAAGCTAATGCTAATTACTGTCAGGAGGATCGATTATACACTTAGTATGGAATGAGTTCACTCATTATACCCGTTACTCGTAGAGTAAAAGGGTATACTAGATTCGTTGAAAAGTATGTAACGATAGAAGGAAGCGTTTCCGACCCTATAAAGTATATATATTCTTGATCAGGATCAATAGCGAAGTCGATTGAGCCATGTCCGTCTGACTGTCCGTCTGTCCGTCTGTCCGTATGAACACTGAGATCTCAGGACCTATAAGAGATACAAAGTTGAGATTAACCATGAAGATTCTTGAGGTCCCTACGCAAGTCCCACAACTCGCGAAAAACTAAAATCGCTGAAATCTGAGGAACTATTAGAGCTAGAAAGTTGAAATTCAGTAAGTATAATCTTTAGATGCCAGCGCACATTATATATTACCCATACGCCGACAAGACTCAAAAGACGCTATTTATGAAGAAATCAAGGTTATAAGTCCTCACATTGGCAGTGACGTCACTATCAGTTACTCAAAATGCTTTCTCTGACAATAGGTGGCGCCTTGTGAATTTCCACTGGCAAAATTAATATTTTAAAATTGTGTAAGACAGTAACGGGTATCTTATAGTCGCGGCACTCGCCTATAGCGTTTCTTCTTGTTTTTGAAAAGATTTATTCAGTGTCCAAATGGATTATTTAAATGGTGGTCGTGTGAAAAATAAAAGGTGTAGTAAATACAGCGATGAATTCTAGCAAACCCTCTAATCAGTCAAGAGCTTCAAAGCAATAGCTCAAAATAGTTCCTAACAATAGGGCACTGAACTTTCGATTTTTAGATTCGTCAGAAGGCGTACGTTAACCCATCTGGTTGCAAATTTATTTTCGATTGACCAATAGTAGTAAACTGAGTGATAAGCAATCAAAAAGATTTGGCAAGATAATCACAAGTATATAAAAGCAAAGAAATTCGTTGCAGAGTGAAGCTAATGATGAGTTCCAACACAAAGGAAGGAATCCGGATTCGCATTATGAGACTGGAGGACTATGAAAAGGTAAAATCCTTTATGAAGGAAGAGTACTTCACGGCGGAGCCCTTGTGCCAATCCAGTGGTGAACCCGTTCATCTGCAAAACGAGAAGGAGAACGACGCGATTAACCTCTCGATGATTGCCCAGGGGACTTGTCTCTTGGCCCTCGACGAGAGCGATGATGACCAAATTGTGGGATTCGTCCTGGCAGGAGCCGAAACCTCCGATGATGTGGAAAGGAGCCGCCTGGTGGCCGAGTCACTCGAGAATAACGCTTGGGGCCACATCTATGCCATAATCATCAAGGCCGAATGCGAAGCCAATATTTTCAAGCGGTACGGAATCTCGAAAGTACTTTATTCCCACATCACCAGTGTAGCCATCTCGATGAGGGGCAAGGGACTGGGTTCACGACTTGCCTCCACTCTAATGAACTTAGGCCGGTCCAAGGGATTCCCCGCCATGGTGGCCTACTGCACCAGCTTTTACTCTGCTCGCCAGAAGGAGGCCCTGGGAATGGAGTGCATACATTCCATGGACTATGCGGACTACAAGGACAACCGGGGACGAGTGATCTTCGCGCCGGCAGCTCCCAATACATCGTTGCGAGTAATGGCCATAAAATTTTGACAGGAATTTGATTTAAAATTTTTTAAGGTGTATACACTATTCTTTTATTATTATAAATAATTATTTTAAACATCAATTAATTACACTTTTCGAGTTGCATAATATAGCTAATTATTCTGCAATTTATACAAAAAGAAAACAATTTTAAAAGTCAAAGTTTGCTGGCCAAGACGCGGACATGGGTATGGGGAGCAGGTGGATTATATACAGGACGGCCCTGATTGTCCTTGTACTCGGCATAGGCCTGTGAGTGAATGACCTCCATACCCAAGCCTTCCACTGCCTGCTTAGCGGAGTAGTAACTGGTGCTGCTGCCGATCAGCAGCGGGAATCCTCGAGAGCGTCCCAACTTCATTAGGGTGACGGCGAGATGGGACAGAACACCTTTGCCCCTCATTGATTCGTGAACAGAGACTGCTATTAGGTTGAGATATATGGGAACTTGGCAGCGTTCGAATATGTTGGCATCCCGTTCGATTTTGGCTATCATCTTCCGACTTCGACCCAAGGCATTATCTTCGATTTCCTCGGCTTCCTTGTGCTGTTTAGCCAATATAGTGGGATCCATTTTCTCGGCAAGGCTCATGCCGATAAGAAGTCCTGTATTGTCGTCGAATGCTACTAGGGAGAGTCCTTGGTTGATTACCGAAATGTATTCCCTGTCAACTTCTTCCTCATTTAATAGATGAATTTGTTCTTCCAGTCCAATTCCCATGGGCTCGTCGTAATGGAAGTAATCCCGCATGAAAGGCTTAACAATTCCATAGTCGCTCTCCTCCATGAGGCGTATGGTTATTCCGTTTTTTTGACTGAGAATCATTTTGAATTATACACTCTGGCAGTAGGGAACTGCCTATTTTTCATAGTTGGAGGGACCTTTTAAAGAAACCCAAACGCGTTATCAACAAAAATCAGACGGAGCTCTTTATAGGCTTTCCCAAGGCTATCTGCAAAAATTTTCTTTTTATTTTGCACTTTCCTGGAGGCTTAATATTAACCGATATCTTATCTCAAAATGTCTTAAGAAGTAATAAAAATTGCTTAGATTAAGCTAATCTTCAATGAATTTTTAAATTCTTGGACCTACATTCTGAAACAACAAAAAAATGAACCCGTGACCTTGACATTTTCTTTGTTGAGTTCAATGCCCTTCGTAACGGCCCGCGGAAAAGATCTGCTAAGATTTTAAATCAATGCTTTATCAGTATTAAAAGTCTTGCAATCAAGGGCGATGCATCGGCTTAAATTGTAGCATGCTTATTGGGATCCATTGTCGTGATATATGAATATCACGACAGTGATGGCTTTCCTTTAATTTTTTCTTCAAATACCAGCTGCCAACACTTGCCAGAATTGGATAGGGAAAAAGTTTTTTTTTTCGAAAAATTTCGGTTGAATTATTTTTTTTTTTATAATTGACACTTGGGAAATCTAAATATATAATTTTTTAGTAAAATTTATAATACGTTTCTGCTTCCAGTATTTTTCATATAAATTCGAATCATATTAAAAGCTAATAAGAGCGATTAAAAAGTTGTCCACATACATAGATTAAAAATATTTTACGCCGCGCTTAATTTGAAATTCAGCGATGAGTGCTGCCAGACTATTTAGACATTATGCGGTATATTTGCCAAAAACGCAATACGGTCATACTGTAAACTGCAGTTTCGTTTTGTTCTTCGACATATTAATATATTTACTATAAATATATTTTAGAAAATCACATTTCCGGAGCTCTAAGGTAGGCTTGCACTTCCAAAAGCAACAAGAAGAGAAAAAAATGAGAGCCACGCAGAACTGATTGAGGTCGAGGGCAAACGCCAAAAAACCCACCTTTGCCATAGTTGCACCTGAATAGCACTCATTTCCAAGCAGAATGCGGGATGCCCCTGTAACAGATCCGGAACCCAGCAGCACCGAAGGAAATTGTTCGGTTGATAACGAGAATAATGATCAGGAGCCTGTTGAAGCTGAGCGGGAGGCAGAAGCCAATGACGCCAGTTGCACATTATGTGGGGCCGCCAAGGTCTCGGCTCTTTTGGATCTGCGCTCCAATCACGTGATGCAGCGCCGGCTGAGTCGCGACTGGAAGATCCATGTGAGTAATACAAACATTATCCCATTCAGCTGACCATATAAATTTCACATTTGCTATAATTTTTAGTCCGATGTTATTCGATCCACTTTGAAGGCCATTTGTGTGGAGTGCGTTTGCAAGTTAAACATGCACTCGGAAGTCACTCGATCCTTGATGCAACGCATGCAACGATTGCAGCGTTCCGGGGGAGAAATTACCACAGTGACCACTACCACAACTTCACCAACCCAACATAGTCCACCTATTGCTGATGCAGAAGTGTCAACTACACTGATAGAGAGCCAAGAGGAGGTACCACAAAAAAGGCCGAGTATTCGTAGCTCACGTTCGTCTTGTTCTGTGCTGGAAGTCTACCTTGCTCAGCAGCCCTTTTCCCCGTCGGCTAAGGAGTCTGAGGAGAAGCATACGGAAGGTTGGAAGTGGCGAACACGGCTAGAGTGTCACGAATGTGGACGTGCTTATTTCCGGCGGGACTATTACGCCCAGCACTTGCGCCGCTGCTCTAAAATTCGACGATCACAAACCCGTCCGCCGCGCGCCAAGTGCCGGGTGCTGAACGAGGCCAGTTGTGATGAGGAGACGTCTTCCGGAGTCAACCGCTCGTCGCGCACTTACTACTGCCGACACTGCGACGAAGAGTTTGACTCAATGGTTGGAAAGCGACACCATGAACGGTCCAAGCATCAGCAGCGGTATCCCTGCGATCTTTGCGATGCCCAGTTACACACCAAGTACGAATGGGACCTACATCATGCAATCTGCCAGGCCAAGCAGGAGGTTAGTAGAAATTAAGTTGGTTTACCTTGATAAATATTTATTTTAACTTATTATCCCAATTAGGCCTTAATACTTCTACAACAGGCGGAAACAGGGCAGACCGTTCAGCCTTCCCGGACCCCAAAGGCTCGTTCCACACGGTCTCGTTCACGGGCCTGCTCAGAAGCCTGGGATAAGTACAATATGGATGATCAGGACGATGAAATCGAAGAGAACGAAAGCGATGAAGAGGAGCGTGAAGAGGGCGACGATGACCAGGAGGACGCTATGTACACACGCCGCATGAATTTCACCGGTGACTGGATCGTAAACCACAGCCGCAGCAATAGCAACAGTGCTGGAAATCTCCCACTTCTGTACGATGACTACGGACTGGTTGAAACGCATATGACCACCGACAAGGAGTACGGTAGGGATTTTTTTCATTTAAGCTATTTCTTTGTATAAACATTCTTGCTTTTTAATGACAGACCTTTACCTACTCGATCTGCTGAAGACCCAGGTTCGTTTAAAATCTTTTACGTGCTTTACTCCAGCCTGTGGGTATCAGACGGACACCCTAGTGGCTCTAATGAAGCACGATTACATGGAGCACTGGAAGATGAGCTGGTTCTACTGCCACAAGTGCGGAGATGTCTTTACAAGCAAGTAAGTTTCACTATAAACAACTAAAATAACATAATCCAGAACAGCTTCTTAGTAATAACGAACGCCATTCGTTTGCTTTTGCAGGGTCTTTTTGGACTACCATTTGCACCTACAGAACCGCGGCTTCTACGTCTGCCACAAGTGCCGCGAAGAGTTCGAATTGCAGCATCAGCTGGACCGCCACTTCCAGCTCCATAAGAAGGGTATAAACTATCACTGCAACTTCTGTCGGCTGGAGTTTCTCAGCGAGGCCAAGCTGCTGGCACACTGCAAACTCCGGGGACACAGTCCTAACGATGAGCCCTTGATTAGTATCGATCGGTCGCTTTCAATCGTCAACTGCCATGGGTCTCAGTCAGCGGATCATTCTCGTATATCGAAGACGTATGAGGAGCGGGAGTTTTATATCCCAAGGATTAAGGTGCCATCGCTGAAGCCCATGCACTTGCCGCAACATAAACCTTTCCGTTTCGCCATTGGCATTTGCGATTTCGATGAGCGGAATCCGAATTGCGTCGGTTGTCACTGAATTCATGATATACTATCTGACATTGCAATCTTAATGAATAGGCCATTTTATTAGGAACTACATTAGTAAAATTTAAAAATATATTTTTCTATAATAAAAATTGTGTTGTCAGAGAAACTCAGATTGGTTATTTGATACTTCAGTCAGTTTATTTCGCGTTCTTTCGCTGATCTTTACATGATGAAAGTTGGGTGTTTAGGGATAATTTAAATTGCAGCACAATTTGGAATACTTAAAACTAGATCTAGAATTCGCATGTGTATGTGTGGACTATGATGCTATGTACAGAGTTACTCGTATAACAATTTAACATTATCGACCGTACGACTATATAGTTATATAAGTGTAGGTGTTTATAATTAAAGAGCCTATTGCATTGCCCCCAGCGCATGTTTTCATTTGTTTTTTGTTTTTGTTTTGTTTGCCTTATAAATAGTTTAGTTTTAGTGGTTACGTTTAGGTTGGTGTGGCTTAGAACTAATCAATTTGCCTGAAACTTACAGCTAATTAACTAAGGATCTCGATTCGTATTTAAGTTTAGTTTGTAATTTTATTTTAATGCGTGTGCTCTTGCTCGTGGTACGTTTGAGTCGGTGTCAGTCTTATAAATTCAACCCAGGACGATTAATATACATATATATCTCGCTAACAGGATAACATGAGGCTAACAAAGATACGCTATTTGAGGTAGTTCTGTTCAAGTGGGATCTCTTCTAACTTCTTCTAACTCTTCGCTTCGAAAATCATACAAATTAAGGCCACGTACATGCGTTTCACATACTGGTCGTTATAAATAATCTAGTGCTAATAATTTTTAAAACAAATCACTGGCATTTAACAAAGTTGTACATGGTGTAGCTAACTCGCTAACCATTTCCAATGGGAGCCTCTTCTGCTCTGTCCTTAGTTAGCTCATCCATCGCCATCTCTGATCCCGCCTTCAGTCTTATGTAAGTCGGCTTACATATCCTAGTTTGTCAGTTGACTGGGATCTGGGATGGTTGAGCTGTTTTAAGGCCTACAACTAGCTGGTTTCCAAAGATGGCCTACGAGTGCCTAAGCCTAAGGTGTCCATAATCTATCCTAAGCTATTCTCTATTTTATTTCCTAACATTTCTGTTTTTAGGCACAAAGTGATGCTGACAACAATTTATTTTAGTGTGTGGGTTTGATTTTGGATGGGTGCCAGGTGCTGGTGCGGATGATTCCCACAACGACTGGGATGAGGTTTCTTCGTTTAAAGCTTCACCAACGCTGGTCGGCGCCTGAGTCGCCGATAGTAAGGAAAGTAACACAAGGATGGGTCTAATAACGGGGAATAATAGGAGTTGCTATCTAAGCCTGGCCTACTCCAAGGAGTCGAGGCTGTCCGTGGCATATTGCCAGGCCATGGTGAGCGTCAATCAGTCGGCCCGAGCCTGAGCATCCTCGCCTTCCAGCAGCTCCCTCTTGAGGCCCATGGGCAAGAACTGTGGCGAGGCTGGGTAATCTTCGTGATCCTTGCCATTGGCAGGCGCACTACTGGCGTGCATAATCACTCCGGCACCCTCGGCTGGCTGGGGCGAGTAGGGAGAATGCGCTCGCTCCTTCCTGGCCAGCGAGAGATCCTCCACATGCTCCTGCTCGTGGTCCTCCTCGTCGTCCGCATCCTCACGCTCATCTTGGTCGCGTTCCCTTTTGATCATGTTCTGTTCATGCTTCTCCATTTCCAGATCCATGGCTTCCTGGTCGTGCGAGTAGTGACGACCCTGCGGACTCGGTGACCGCATGCCGTGGCCATTGGAGCGCTGGTCCATCTCCGCTGGACTGCTCGACATGCGATTGGCAGCAGCATGTGCAGCTGCCGCCAGGGCCATGGCATGGAGAGCCTCTCGGCCGGCCATGTCACCACCCCGATTCTCCAGGGCCTGCTGGAGGAAAGCGTGATCGAGGAGGGCTGCTGCTGAGGGCGGAATGGTGGGTGGCATGCCATGGTGAGCGGGGACATGGTCCACCTTCGGATCACGCTTGCCCTCCGAGTGATGACCGTGTCCATGTCCGTAGTTGTGAGCAGCAGCGGCTGCAGCAGCGGAGTATGTGAAACCTTGAGAGGATTCAGCGCCCGGAGGACTACGTTTGGGCGCGCGATGGGTGCCACGACCAGTGGTGATGTTTAGCTTACGGACCTTGTCGTAGAGCGTGCGACTGGGCAGGCCGTACTTCCTGCTCGCCTGAAGGGCACTCATGCCCTCCCTTACCGCCTGGATGGCACACATCATGTCCGCCCGGGTGTACTGCTTATAGCGCTTCCATTCAGGTTTCTTGCCACCGGACTGACCGGTTTCCTCCTCAAAGGAGCGATCTGTGTACGGTGAAAGTGGTTCCTTATCGCCGCCGTAGTCAGATCCATTGAAGCTATGGTTACGCTCGCCACCACTTACTCCCAAGCCGGCAGGAAGTTGTGTATTCTGATGCTGATGTGTGGGCGTCTTTTCTCCATTAATGGCCATTGGTCCAGGTTGCGAGGAATCAGCGGGATTAGCTTGGGCCAGAACGTTTCTTAGGATCGGAGTATCGCGGTTTCCACTCAGAAGCATGCTAGAGATGGCAGACAGCTTCTTGCGCTTGAGAGGATTCATATCAGCGGCAGATTCGTAGACGGAGTTCAACATGGCAGCGGCGGCAGAGGGAGTCAGTGGCCACTGGCCGGCTGGTTCTCCCGCGCCCGATGGCGCCGAGTGTGGTGTGGTCTGGGTGGGAGTCAAAGGAGCCTCACCAGCTGGAATTTGACTGGCCGACAACGGTTGCTGCTGCGGATAGTGGCTGAAGCCCGGCTGATAGCCAAATTGGGGCGGCGGTGGTGGCGAGCAGCTGCTCGAGATGGCGGCACTAGGCGAGATGTGTGTGGATGTAGAGATCACGGACGAAGAGTGGTTGGATGCCGAGCCGTTCTGGGGCTTGGCTCCGCCAGCTCCCGAACTGGAGGTGGGCGTGACGCTGGCATGGCTGCCGGAACTGTGGTGGTTGAACTTCATGAGGTTGTCGTACAGACCCTTGACCTGCAGCTCCTTGGCCGTGCGCAGGATCTCCGGCTCCTGGCTTTTGGTAACCGTTGTCTCGCCCGTGTACATGTACTGCAGCAGGGCGGCAATCTCGAAGCCCTTGACTCCGGGAAGGATAATGCTGCAATGGTCCTGGGGCACATCCTTAAGAATGTGCTGGAAATATGGGGAATTGGCGGCCAGAACCACGCGATGAGCCTGGAACTGCTCGTCATCTACGACCAGAGTGCAATCCACATAGCTGCCGACTTCGTGCAGGGCATGCAATATCTGGACCAGGTTCGTTTGGTGGTTGTTCCAGCGGAGGCAGTAGGTCTGGCCTACCTCGCCGCTGCTGGCCACCGGCGCCGTGGGGCCGCCCATCTCCTGGTCGCGTTCCTCGCGATCCACCTCGCGATCCCTGATATCGTGCTTTGGCTCCCTCGGATTGTGGTGGCTCACCCTTGAATGATGGTGATGGTTTGATGGCTGGTCGGGCTCCTCGTCTGGAGCTGGATCGCTGCTACTGCTGCTGTGGTTGTACACACCGTTCAAACTGGTGAAGGCGGCGCTCAGCAGCGTCGGCGGGTAGAAGGATAGGTGCTTCCTGACCTTGAGCGCCAGTTTAAGGCCTACGGTTCACCTGGTTGCCTGATTCCCGGAAAAGACAAAAAAAGAAAAGAAAATGCCAATTAGTATGAGTTTTCAGCCTGAGCCAAGCGTTCAGATTTGGCAAATGTCATAGCAGAGGGTTGGAGAAGCAAATTTCAAATTTCGCATGGGTTGCTAAAATCAACAGGAAAGACACACACATGAAAATGTGATGGCAAATAGAAGCCATAGCCCATGCCCGAGCTAAAGCTGCCAGGAAGTCAGGTGTGCGAAATTGGGGATGGTCTCCTCTCCAGTCCACCATTTCTCTTTTTGGCGGAAAATCTTGCTTGTAAAATTTATGCCCTTCGCCACCCCCCGAAGTTTTATGCGCCATAAAAAAGTGAAAGTGAAATGGTGGGGGTTGGTGGAAGTGGGAGTGGGAGTGGGTGGTGGTGGCGACCAGGAAAACGTGTACGAAAAATGGGGGAAAAAAATATGCAAACATCCCTCGAAAGATGTGTGCGCGTATTTTTCCGGCTGCTTTTCGCGCGTTTTACTTTTACGCATACATATTCAAATCTATATGTATATCAAGCATTTTTTTGTATTACCGCCGCCTGGAATCGGGAAATGGAAATGGGAAGGCACGGAAAATAAGGGAAAAATGTGGCTGAAAAACTTGCAATAATTTTCATTCATTTTGTGTACAAAAAGAAGAGGGAGTCGGGGGTGGACGGCAAGCCATATGCCCTTGTCCTTGGCATGACTTCAATTTTCGTACTCGGGTTGTGGTCGAATTTCGAACTCAAGTGGACGCCATATGCTGGGATCCTGGCGTCATGTGTTGGCCATTCGTCAAGGAGTTTGCATCCCAAACTGCGACCATGTGTCGCGTGTGTGTGTGTCTGTGTGAATCTCCAGTTACCAACAGGTAGTGTGGCAAAGGATCCGTCTTCGTCTTACGTCCCCTCCCCACCCGCAAAAAAAAAAACGATAATGGCAATCAAACAACAACAGGGAAATGTCAAAGGGGCGAGGCAGCGTAAAAAATAAACCAGAAGGTATATGGCAAAAAAGAAAAGCAGACAATCAGACAAAGGCGGCGAGCAAACGATCGCATTATTGTCTGCGGAAAATGCGCAAGAGATCATCAATTGTTGTTGTCTAGCCATTGTCTCGCCGGCAGGATAATGGGCAACCTGCAGAGATCCCAATCCTAGAGTTCCCACTCCCGATTTGCGCAACTACCGATTTCGGCAGGTAAGCGATTTCGATTGTATTTCGAAATGCTATAAGCGCATTAGATGTGGTTATAATCATGCCATAAAGGCGATGCCTCAACGCCTCGATCGCACGTTGCGCATACGACACGATCGCCAAAAGATCGAAAGCTCCCGCCGGAAAGCTTTGGCCAACTTTTGCTAACAGAGCTCGCCAACAGTGGCCACCATTTTGTGAAAAAAAACGCTTAATTAAAATTATCACAAACGTCATTGAAACGAATGCACTTGGGAACCGGTTTCGGGTCTAGGGTTTCCAGTTTCTATTTTGGTAGTGTCAATTTTTTGGACACGTATTATATTGCGAAATTGTACAAAAATTAATCCAAAATAAAAGGGTTTTCGAAGGGCAGTGTTATGAAGCTGAACTGGTATAGTGGAAACACTACAAAATTAGGTTTTCCATTACAATACCTAAACTCTGTATTATTAAAATTAATTAATTTGATTAAAATCTTACCACGAAATAATGAAAATGCCGCAGTTGGGGCACAGTATCGAAGGTGTTAAGTGGCCAAATTAATTTTTGGAACACTTGTACGTTATTTTCGCATATAGTTTTTCGTAGTTATTTGAATTCGTTTTAATTTTCTTTAGTTTTTTTTTAATTTGTTGATATTTATTCACATTCTCAGAACAGAGTTTTGTAGAGTAGATGTTGTTTTTGTTTGTTGGTTGTTTAAGTTTTCCGCTCCACACACACTTGCACAAAACACGAGATGTTGCCAAAAATATTTGATATTTTCCAAGAAACTGCGACACGTTTAGCGTTTTTCCTTGAGGTTTTTCGCTCGCCTTGTGATTTTGATATATTTTTAAAGGGAATTTTGAGAGTTTTGCGTGCACGTTGTTGCAGATTCGAGCGCTCAAACTTGAATAAAACTGCCACGGTTTTCGTGTGCAGCAAGTCATTGAAGACCAAATTTCCCGAGCGCTGCCAGAGCGGGATGGCGCTATACGGGAGAGAGAGCGGCGAGAAAACTGTTCGATTACGAAAAGGGGAATCATGGGAAAACTGTCCTACAAAATCGCTCCGTCACGTTTCCACCCTCGCGCCCTCTCTTTCGCGCAGTTGCAGTTTTTTGCGCTTGCACTTGGCTCTCGCTCTCACTGGCCCTCACTCTCTGTCTCTCCTTCTCTGACTCTTGCCTATTCTCTCCCCTTGCGTTTTTTTCATGCGTGCGTTTGCATGCGTGTGCGTGTACGAGATTGCGACTGCAAGTGTGTGCGTTTCCTGCATATATGGCTGCTGCCATTGGACGCAGTGTGTGCGAAAGGGAGCCAAATAGCTGCAGTGAGTCCCACTCTTTTTTTTTTGGCGACTGCATTTTTTACTTTTTTTTTCTTCTTTTTTAATGCACGAACTTAAGCAGGTTGCGTGAAAAACTGGTCTCTCCGAGTGGTTCGTTTGTCGATCTTTACTATTTTGTACGCCACCCTTTCCTCTCCTTCCTCTTCTCGTCGTTACATTCGTCGCCATTTTGATAGTTTGTCGTATATTTTCAATTTTCCTCGCTTTTCTTTTTTCGCCTTGTTTTTCCTTGTGCAACTTCTTAGTTATGCAAATTTGGGATACGAAAGTACAGATAAAGAAACGACCTTCGGCAATCAATGCATTATTGAATGCAGTTTCGGCCTGCAATGCGATAAATTTGCATATGTCTCGACCTTCGACCCTTCGGACGATAACCCTTCGATTTCTTGATTTTTTATGTAAATTGCGGAGTAACGGTCGCAAGGGGTTGAGTTTTTTAGGGGTCACAAAGCAGCATAGAAGCTGCTGATCTGGTAATTTATGCAAGGCACCTGTAAAGCATCTTAGGTCTTCTGGTTTTTTAATTTCTTAACAAAATAGTTAAAAAGGGGATGGGATTAATATGGGGACTTGAGGGTTTCAGTTTCTTAAACTAGAAGCTTAGGTATTGACCTTTTTGGCAATTTAAAAACAATAAGTTACACGAATGCCTAGGTTCTTAATGATAGCCTTCCTAGAAAGACAAGCGCCCTTATAGATCTGGGTTTACACTAATTTTTCAATTTTTATATATTCAGTACAGAAGGATACGAGTATGACTTAATCGGTAATCTGATCAGCACGAAAAATTGCATTATTATATAGAAATATTAACAATCTCAAGAGCTTTAAACTTTAACCTTTAAGAATCTTAGTTTTTAATAGAACTTTTCCCTATTTGCACTGACCATCTTGCTGCAGCTGTACTCCACGCACTTTTCTCTTCGCGGCTCAACTTACATTTTTTAATTGTTCATCATTAGTTTGTTCGTCGTTTCCTCTGTGTATCAGCCCCGCCATGCCCCTCCGCCTGCACACTCGGGTTGCCAAACCCATTAATCATGTTTGGAAATTAAGGTCAACCGCATTTCACGGAGCTGTTTTCTGACCGACCATGTTTCCAACTGCACTTTTATTTTTTTGGCAGGGCCTTAAGATCGGCCAGCACTATCTGCTCTCTCCCTCCCGAAAATCCCAAAAAACTAGTTCGCAAGTGCATTCACCTCCCCCCGCCTCTGCGGAATTTAGCTTCGAACTGATAGTGCAAGAAATGAGTGTAGGCACGGGCATAAAAAAGCGGAAAAGTTGCCGCAACTTGGGCTGCACATAATCTGGACTCTGAACATTTATGGACAAGAGCCGGGGGCTTTACTCTTTACTGCAATATATATATATATATATATATATGGTATATATATGCCCCTACCCGTTTTCCCCTTTGTAATCTTATCATCATTACCCTCAGTGCCTGTCAAAGGCCCAGTGAAAGTGAAAAATATGTATTACAAGAAGCCGAAAATTGTATGTTGCTAAGAGAGAATTTGTTTTATTTTCTTAAGCGAATTTGCAATTGAAAAACTCAAAGTGTTTTGTTTTAAAAATGAGCTTAAATTTCATTTAGATTGAGTGGTTTGTTTAGGCCAACTATTACAGAACCAAGTGTTATTTTTATTACAATAACTTACTTAGGTGATAAATTTACAGATTAACCACCTTTGAAGTTCTTTTAATGGAAATTATCAACATTATTACAAGGATTTCAAAGAAACTTGTATAGGGAATGTATTAAACTGTTGAATCAATCTGCCGCTGCTTATTTTGAAAAACTTCTCAATCAAGGAATAAATATATCTTTTAACAAAACAATTTAATTATCATTTCTAAAAACCCAAATAAATTTGCAAAATGATAAAGAAACTTTTTAAAACAGATAAACTATCAGAACTCCTGACATGTGTCGTTCCCTAAGAATTTCCTTAAATTGATTATCCTCTGGTCAGTGTTGACTTTGCTGACTTTTTGACTAACGGCTGAGGAAGTGGCTAATGCCGGAGATGAAGACGTTTTCCCAGCTCAAAGCCACCGCTCATTATGGGGGATTAGCATGGATAAATCCGCACATAATCCAACCACAAGACAGTCGCTCAATGAAGCGGAGGACTATTAATGAACCCGTAGAGTCCTTGAATCTACCTGCCATGTGTGGATCCTGGCAAAAAAAAAAGAAAAAAGGGAAACAAAGAAGACTCTAAAATGATTTAACAATCAAGTAATTCTTTGTTCTGCGAGCAGCACTAATTTGCAGTCATCTGGTGAAAATGGCATTGTTCTAAAGTGCCTCTTATCAGTTGTAAGATTTCCCTCTTAGTTAACATCTGGATTTGCATTTCGTATTTGTGTTTGCAAACTGCACGACAAATGTTTTTCTCCTACGCATTTTCGCGATTACCATTATCAGTTCTTTGTTTTCTGGTCAGCGCATATGGACTGAAACCTTTGACCTGCTCTTTCTCTACATTTATGATCCTTGCGAAAGGGTTTTTGGTTCTGGGATTTTTATGGTTTTACGACTTTTCGCAAAAATGTGCCAAAATGTGTTCGAAGGAAAGGCAGACCGAAGTTTTACGATCCTTAACCCTTTGCCCCTGGTCATTATCATTGAGGCGACGACTAGATTTGCATGCCAATAGAGGAAGCGAAAGGATTTTCCGGGAAATGCTTTGCCTTGGGTTTCAATCAATGTCTGGGCCAGCTTAATAGCAGCATTTGTAATGCAAAATAAAAAAATGTATGCAAAAAAACGTTGAGGATGAGTTTCCCGGCATTTCCCAGGCAACCCTTTACCTCAACATGTATCTTTTGGCCAGGTAGGCCAGCTAAATGCTGCTGCTGAGATTCTTGAGGATTCTCAGTTGCCGTTGAAGTGTCGCCTCTTGTGGATTCTTTTTGAAGTAGCAGCGGCACGTGAAAATTCTATCCAACACAAAAGGCAATTAGCGTGGCTCAAAGGGAGAACAGGAGCCGCCGCCTACGCTGGACAATGGGCAGCGTGCTGAGTTTAGTTTAGTGACAGGATCGCCAGGACCTGCCATAAAAATCGCCGCTCACACTCGGGTGCTAATGGAGGCGAAAATTTTTCGACAGATATTTCTCCCCTTTCCTCGCAGTGTTTACATAAAATTCAAGCGGCGGAAGGGCAAAAATACGAAAACTATCTGCTAGATACACACTACACTTGGGGAAAAATGCGTCTTCATTGAGGTTTATGTAGAAAAGATATTGATGAAAGATATAACGTCATTGGTGGGATTACATTTTGTATTTAAGTAAAAAATATTTTATTTATTATTTTAGGAATTTAATTCGATTTTTTCCCTTTCATTCACTTTTGAGTTTCTCATTTTAATTTCAAAATATTTATGTTATTTATAATTTCCTTATTTTTCCCAGTGCATATCTCATGTTTGTGTGGGTAGAGCAACAGTCGGAAAACAAACAAAAACTGCAGCCCGGGGAAATTAATAAAAAAATGCAACAAGAAGACCACGAAAAAATACGAAAAAGGAGAGTGGGAATATTAGACAAATACGAAGCAGCGGAGAAACGAAAACGCTGGAAATTTATCGCGCGCGTCATTCGCTGCAACTATGGAAAGTGGCACGTAGACTACGGCTTCCAAGAGCGATGGTGGTGTTGGTGCTGGTGTTGGTGGGTCCGCTGGAGGGGGAGGTGGCAGCGTTAGGCAGTCGCGGAGGAGGGAGTCGTGTGGGGAGGGGAGCGGTCTCCGAATGGGTCATTGCACTTTTGCAACGCACTCACAGATACGAAAGCATAGCACAAACACAGATACAGATACAGATACAAATACGCATTTAGATACAGATAGACATACACATACACAGATAGCAAAAGCAAAAGGCAACATTTAAACGAGAATTGTGTAAAAAAGGCACGAAAAATTAGGCGAAAGCAAACAGAAAGAAGGCAAAACAGACTGAGTAGAGAAAGAGGAAGAGAAGGCAAACAAGATACAGATACATCTGTGCCTGTGTGCAAAGTGTGTGAGTTGGGGTCGGGGGGAAAATGAGCTCCCAGTGCAACTGCAACTTTGCATGGGCCGGCCATTTTGTAAGCGATTTCGCTGGCGCAGATAGAAAGATACGATCGCTGCAGAGAGAGAAAAGTTGAAGGAGTTTTTCACAAGAAAGATTAGTATTAGTAGTATGAATAGTATTTAGGGACAACTTATTTATTACCACTAAATTGCTGACATTTTATCTAATAAAGTATAATTGCTTACCTTACTGCATCATTACCAATTTGTTTTTAAATACTAGAATATTTGTTATACTTCTTAGTTTCTGATTAGTATACGGAATGTGAAGTACTTCTCAAAATCTATATCCTATGCCATTTTTCACTCTGCCTAACTTTTATATTTAATGTAATAATTAAATATTAACAGCTTGTGGAATAATGTTACAAGTTTTACTCCCCTTCCGGAAATAATTAATTTGTTTGTGCGTTTAATAAGGGTGATGGATACATAGATGGGCAGATAGGAGGAATTTGTATCTTTAGCATAACATTTTA